CTTTTAAAGCCCTTTCAGATGAGTTTTTAGCAGCCTAATGTTATGATTGATTTTGTCACACCGTGCAAATGTTGCTAATCCGTCGCCATTATTCAAGCATATGTCAGGCATGCCTTTCATCTCCAAGCTTTAACCCACTAGAATCGCCTCTAATGACCTGTTCGGAAAACATCTTACATGTCGGTGACACGTTTAATACATAGGACACTTTACATGCGGTCGACCACAAAGAAAACCAATATCGCAGGGTGAGCACATGATCACCATGGCGCAGATTTTGGTTGGCTGGTCCTATTGAATTCTCGAGTGAAGTCACATCGTACCTTGTGACGCAGGGATCATGGATCTGCTGCAGCGATGGCGGTGTCAGGCGGTATAACAAGTGGTACCATAAATGTTTGTCTCGGCAAACCTCCAGCTGGACCCGCCTACTCTATCCTGCCCAGCCTCCATTCACGTGACAGCCGTTAAGAGGGCAAAGTGTTTCTGTTTCTTTGTGGTGCTACTGTACTGCATACATCAACACCCAGCAGCTCAGTTACGACGAACCACGGACAATTTATGCTTTAATACTACTAAATTGTGCCTCATTCCTGGCCTTCTAGGAATTCCAAGTAATCATCTTTTCATTCGTTTTTCTGGTTTTGCAGTGAGGTCGCATTTTATGCGAATTTCAAATAGTGCGATATGAAAGTATTAATAAAGTATCAGTTTATGCGCAAACTTTTAAAAAGTGCGAATTCCAAAAATATTCAACGAGAATATTGTGTATTTCAAAACAACGAGAAAACTTCTCTCAAGGAAAGCATCGTCACATAAAATGCTGCCGCACTGTACTCTGCTAAGGTATTATTTGTCAGATTTCGAATGTTCAGCAACCACACCTTGGAACATTAGTACACATTATCAATTAAAGTACTTGCTTGAAGAAGACCATTGTCGCCATCATGTTTTCTACACCGCCCTTGCAATTAGTGCCGCGGTCAAGAATACGTGAATCTATACATCCAGTCCCTCCATACGTTTTCATGGCGTGGTGCTTAATGAGTTACCCACAGTAACAACTTTGCCTAAGTTTGTCAGATAGGAAGAATATTTAGATAACTTTCGTGTAGACTGGGGCACCGTGTGGGCTTATAGGTACATGCCAACGTTTCGGAGGAATATATTGGCCCCACCTTCAGGGTCGAAGTTGTGGCAGTATTTTCCTCCGAAACAGTGGTATCCTCCACCAAGAATACATAGCATCACAGCCCAGGGAACAATCACTACCGTGAAAACGTCACAGTTACGAGGGAGAGTCAGTAAACAGTTCACAAACGGATGTGCAACGTAAAACATGTGATATTTGAACCTATGAAAAAACATTTATTTCTCGACATATCCTCCACCAACATTGATACACTTAACTCATCACTTTACCAGTGCACCGAAACCCGCAGCACAGAAGTCTTTTGGCTGTTGTCTCAGCCGCTTGTCCACCTCTTATTTCAACCTCTTCATCATCAGCGAAAAGTTTTCTGCCAATCTTTGAACCGCTTTACGAGACAAACACTTTCCACCATAAGTGTGAAACATTTTCTTATTAATGTCCCTTGCATTGAACCCTTTTGCCCACAAAAAACAGAACGCTGTTCTTCGATAGTACACTCCTCATACATTTTGACTACTGAAACCAGCTTCTGAACATGCGCATGCACATCTGCTACCTAGACTGTCGTGAAGCTGAACTATGCTGCTACCTAGTGATACACATAGAAATCCCATTACGTCCATTACCGCAGTTTTAGTTCAATATGTGACATATTTACTGACTCTTCCTCGTATGTAGGAATGACATTATTAAGATCACTATCTCCTCGGATGTGACCCGATGTACGTAGCTTAGTAGATGGGTACGAACATTTCGGAGGAACTGCTACCTCCATCTTTATTGTCTCCCTTGAAGATAGAGGCAACATGTTTCTCCAAAACGTCGGTACCCCTCCACCAAAGTACACTGTATCACATCCCAGAAGACCGTGGTCTGGATAGTTTGAACCGTGAGAAACCGGCCCCATACAGGAGGAACATGAGGGTTCGTATGGACCTGCGATTCTCCCAAGAAAGCGAAATATGTTGCATCTTCTTTTGTTTTAAATCCTGGACCTTCCTCTTTAGCTGTTGAGTGGTTTCGGAGTACGACGAATGACCCCCTTGGCAAGATTGAGATGAATGATTTAAGGAGTTGTCAACCTGGATCGCCTGTTCACTGAACAAGAAAACGAACTCCGGATAATGAAGTTTGGAGGGAGAAAAAGTAAGGAAACGCGTCTTTTCCCCTTTCTGCAAACTCTTGAGTATGTACTGGAAGAGCAGGGTAGCATTATTGGTAATTGTCTTGGTATGTTCTTCCGTTTGGGATGAATTTAAGAAATCATCCAACGTTGACAGCGACAGCGGTAATCATCCCTTCAATTCCCCTTTCTCCTTATCATCTCACTTTCTTCCGTCCTTCCAATATTATTCCACTTCTTCTTTAACGCGTCTCTTTCCGTTATTTTCTCATCCTCCGTTTTTTTTTCTTTTTTACTTTCTTGTCTTCATCCTAGCTGTATTGATCCTTCTCATTTATCTTCTTCTTTGAGTCTTCTTTTTTGTGTGAGGTTCATGATGCTGTCAGTATGTTAGAATGTGTAGCGTCGAATAGCATGATTGCCTTTTGCTTTGAGGGACTCAGAAAAGCAACGAAAAATATCAATCACTATAGCCAACGTCTCGGTTTAGATTCGAAGCAAGCAGATATCAGACTACACGGTGTCACATGGCAGAAAACACTGTTCTCCCAAGCAACCGCCATGAGAAACTCAGATTTAATTTTCTTTTTCCCTCACCATCTTCCTCCTGCTCTTTTTATCTTTCGCGGCCCCTCAGATGCGGAAGCTAGACCCGTCTGTCCTTCTGGCGTTGGAATTCCGTTGTCTCCTTAGTCTTCCACACACACTTCGCCTTACAGGTTTCCAATTTAATGTTGTTCTCGGCCACCTGTATACCCCTGTAGAGTGATCTCTGCAAATGCGTTCAGTTTCTCACGTAATTCCCAATTTCCTCCTATTCTGTTTTTTTTTTCAGTCCTCTAGGGAATCCTGGGTTAGTACCTTAAATTAGGCGGCCGCCCCATCGTTTCATATTCTTTCTAATTAATTATTCGTTGAATAAACCATTAACACTACGATCGTGTCTTACCATTTTAGACCCCTTTGATCTTAATTATGGTGACCCCGTATTTATTTGTTTATGGCGTATAGCTCAGATTATATAGAATTAAACGGTATGATCTGCGGTGAGCAATGAATGAGAAATGGTGTGGGAGGAAGTGCTTCTGTCCTGATTTGAGGCATTATCCCGCCGTTTGGGGGAGAGTCGGAGGAAAACCACGAAAGAACTCAGAATAATATATGTTCGGCCAAGGTGCGAGACAAACACCTCCAGAAATCGTTAGCTTTACAGCTTGAGCGAACTTGCTGGGTCCCATGTTTGTGGTAGGCTTATTAAAACACGTATTGCGCTTGCGGATAAATTTTGTAGTTTATTTTTGTCAGCATTTGCATTACGCTGATTGGCCTCCTAACAGCCCTTCGAACCTGAGGCCCTTCTATTGAACTGCCTGCTAGAAACTCCAGGGCAACTTCGAGGGTAAATGCTGTTACTCATATAAACCGACAATCCTTCCACAAATTACTTTCAAACTGATCTATGTCATGCGAGGCCTGCTCTTTCCTATAAACACCGGTATATAACACTCGAGGCATTCTGCTGGAGAAAATGTTCCGTCAAGGAACTAACGCCGAGCCGATCTTCTTTTTCGGTTCTGACACTTGAGGCAATCTGTTGAAGAAAGTGTTCCGTCAAGGAACTAACACCGAGCCGATCTTCTTTTTCGGTTCTGGCAGTTGCAACCCAAGTAGACAGAGCCGGTCTAATTAGGTCGTGGTGTGCGGAGGGTTAAAATCCGATCTTGTCAACTCGTGCCCATTTTCTGTTATTTCATGTTCCGCAAACCCCATTTGTGTCGATATGGATATTTACCTGTCAGGAGCGCACTTGATTCAAACTTTGAAATTGTTAACAGGGCCTTATGATGTCGCCGTATCGAGAGGTTATGCTCGGGCCTGGTTTGTGCTGGGAGCAGGTTATGATAAACTGCTCAAGGTTATCCGACCCACCGTTGCATTCCTCACCCATAGCTAGCAAAGTAGGTTTACCTGCATCGTGAACGGATTATTTTTGTGGCAGGATATTCCACTCATCGCAACCGAAGGCGGTTTTGAATTCTTGGAGTCTATATTGAATTAATTCCTTGTACGAATAATAAACTAATAATCAGTTTCTCTCATTTTTTAACAAATTACTGCGATGTTAGGTACTGATGTTCTCATTTCTTCAAACTGATCATTGCGTTCCAAAGGGTAGCATTCCTCATTTGTATTTCCTAGACCCCATGGTCATATCTCTGTCCGGAAACCGAATATCCTGGTAAGTTTTTCTGGTTTCCTTAAACCCTCCAGTGAAATAACGATAATCGCTTTGTCATTCGACACTACATAATCTGTGCTACTGCATGCGTCATAAAATAAACGAGATTGAAAATTAAAAAATCGTTATTGCTTCCAGTAATTCATTGCTGGTACATGGGAGAACCAGCAGCATAGTAGCATATCCTCAATCTTTAAGTTACGAGCTTCAAGTTCGACCTGGCACATAGCTGGTTACAAAGTAACGAAGCGAAGTTTTTATTACAGAGAAGTCTGCTTGATAGTCATGCTGGTGTTAAAGTGTACTAAGATGGTGAGGCCACCAATGTTTGCTGCCATGTAAAACAATGTTTCTTGTGGCTGCTGAAGATATAGAGTTTAATTGTAAACTTAGGTGCTAATGCAAGAAACATATTTTCTGCTCAATCAGTTAAAAGTAATGACTTCATTAATGGTAGATGGTAACATTTCTGTTTGGTGTTGCAGTGTGAGGAGGGCCTGTCGAGTGGTGATATCTGTGTGTTCGCGTCACGCGCAGGACCCAACACATGCTGGCATCCAGCGTGCTTCACATGTTGCATCTGTAAGGAGTTACTTGTGGATCTCATCTACTTCTATCGGGAGGGTAAACTATATTGTGGCCGACACCATGCCGAGACGCTAAAGCCGAGGTGCTCTGCTTGCGATGAGGTGAGTCTCCTCTCCAGGCTTTCATAATAAAATGTTGTGTGCATTTAGTTGCTCCAATCGGCACCAAACATTTTTCTGGATATTTTACTTTGAGCGAAAACTTTCTAGGTTTCGTGACCGTGGCTAAACATTGTGCTGGGTGCTGAAGCCTCAAGTTGCATATTGGTCGGTGTAATGACTTTACCGAACATTTTCTTAAGTGCCCTGACCTTACATAAACCTTTTCTTGAGACATGTAATTTAATCTAATACTCTCTGGATATTCAGGATGTTTTGGGTGCAGAAGGTATTCAGGATATATTGGCACCTTCCCCAACTTTTTGGAGACTGTGACCTCCCCCTAACTAACGTCACCATGAATAGCTGTGCCACATCTGTACCTGTTCCTAGCCGAAATACCCTAGAACCACAGTTTCTGAAGACAAATTTGCTATGTACCTATTCCCACATCAGAGTTCACGAACCTTTCTTAGGACTGACACGGATTATGCAAGTTCCAGCTATTGTTGCAGATCATTCTTGCCGACGAGTGCACAGAAGCGGAGGGTCGTGCCTGGCATATGAAACACTTTGCCTGTTTTGAGTGTGATCGGCAGCTGGGAGGACAACGTTACATTATGCGGGATGGCAGGCCCTACTGCCTGCACTGCTTTGATGCCATGTTTGCGGAATACTGCGACTCGTGCGGGGAGCCTATTGGTGTAGATCAAGGTACCATATTCACCTGAGTATGAAACTGTTCGCCCTTTTCCGTGTTAAGTGAATTCCTTGCTCCAACAGCATATTGCTGAGTCAAGTGACTGAAGGGATAGTGCTTGTGTCGTGTATTCAGGAGTTGCCGAGGTCACATCTTGGCCAGTATACCAACTATCCTAACTGGGGTCTTTCATGGTTTTCCTTGACCAGTCCATGCAACTTTTTGGATTAACATCAAATTAGGTTGCAGCCGCTTCCTTCAGCATCCATTCCAATTCATTATTCACCAGTTATGCACAGTCTGAGATACTGACAGCATTGTTAAATAAACTATAAACAAAATAAAACTATGGCATGAGATGTTACTAGTTTCAAGTGCAGGAGATGATACCAGGTGTACAGGGTAGCTTCAGATGTATTAAAGAAGAAAGTTATGACAGCCAACAGCGGGTGGTCACCCAGTTTAAATTGTCCCTTTTCCATAAGTGTTTATGTTTAATGCCAGGGTTTAGTATCATGGATTTCAGACCTCTGGATTCTGTTAGCAGAGTTAATTTGTGATTGTAATTTATACTATTTACCAGATATTGTTCATGTGATTACATCAAGGACGATGCAGTGGGCAGGATGTGTAGTGTACTTTATGTAAAAAATAAATAATGATGATGATGATGATGTGAATCTGAATGTTGTGGTGCAGGTCAGATGAGCCATGAAGGACAGCACTGGCATGCCACAGAGCAGTGTTTTTGCTGTCATACCTGTCGATCTTCCCTACTTGGGCGGCCCTTTCTACCGCGTCGAGGTGCCATCTACTGCTCGATTGCATGCAGCAAAGGGGAGCCCCCGACACCATCTGACAGCTCAGGGCCGGGCCCACGACTAAGCCACAGTGCCCTGAGACAGCAGCGCCACCAGCGAGCACGACCACCATCAGATGCAGGCTCTAGCACACCTCCCACCTCACCTGGACGGGCAAGACGAACCCTTGGACTACCAGGTTCACCCGCCTCATCTTCTGCACCATCTTCACCACCCGGCCAGCTCCAATGTGGGAAGTACAGCCGGAATTACAGGTAACTCCTTAAAGTAAAGGCATTCAGTTCCTAATTATTTATTCAGCGGTGTCTCCACCAAAGTCTGTCTTCCTACATTCCTGTCATCGTTACAACCACCAACACTCCTTCCTGCTTCCCCGTTCCTCCTACTAACCCTGTTCTGACTTCAATGCAGTGATTTTCAAGATATACCAGCCTCTCTTTTTCCAAGTAAAGGTAAAAGGTAAAGTTGTCCCTGTTGTTTAATAGGCATCATAACATGAAGATATATGGGTGAGTGGTAGTATAGCTCCATGCTGTTGTTCTTTTTTCTAAATGAGGTAATGACAGATTGATAATATTTCTTGTGCCTGTTGTCTATATGTTCTGTGTCTGTTTGTACTCATATGTATGTACTTTGTCCCCTTTAACACATATAGTGTAGTGGGTCTTCTCTAATGTCATCATTCATCATCCTTTACAAGAAAGTACATCTTTGGCACTTATTAAGAAGTTAGTTTCAGTGATTTGTTTCTTGCTTTTATATCTCTATTCCTATCTACTTGCATAACAACTTCTTACTGATCATTTTTATTTAAGTGATATTTGTTTCACTTTTACTTGTTACTTTATTTAGTAATGTCTTCTTAGCTGTATTCATTGTTTAGTTTCAAATGGCAGGATATTGTTGTGAATGATAAATTGGAAAAGATATGGAAGGAAGCAGTTTTGAGCAATCTTAAGGTATTTGCATTAGTGTGGAAGAACTGACGAAGAACCATGAACAACCTATGTCAGGATAGCTCGCTTGAAGACTGAACATCACATCCAAGACCTCCAGAATGTGAATCAGGAGTGCCAACTGCTTGACTTTGACATTTTATGACTTGTCTACAGAAGATATCAGCTTTGAATCTTGTCTGGAGTACCAGTTATCCTGTAAGCTATAGCAGTTAGCTAATTTCTGTCTTTACTTTCAGTTTACCTCATCAACCACCACCATCTGCCATACAATCTCAACAGCATCAGCAGGTATTGCGAAGTCCTCCTCCAGTTCGTTCTCCCAAGATGGGACGCCGGGCACTTCAGCGAGGCTCTAACAAATCCCTCCCTCCTACTCCACCACCCCCACCATCCACAGATCCTCTTCCATGCTCACCACCACCTCCCCCTCCCCCTCCCCCAACAGTACAGGGTGAAGTAACCTTATTACAGACTGAAGAATATGTCCTAAGAAATCTTCCCCCAATCCCAAGCAGCAGCCATGGTGGAAGTTTGCAGACACTTTCCCAGCAAGCAGCAGGGTCTTCACAACTGAATATCACCTCAGCAACTTGTAGCAAAGGTCTGGACCGGGTTCTTCTAGAGAGGAACTTGGAACGTCTGTTGTCAGAGCATGGGAGCAGTGTTGCAATGGCTACTGAGATACAGGCAGCCAGTCCAGAGCTAGAGAGACTTCTCCAGGCAAGAGATCGTAGTCGAGAGCCCCTTCACCTTGCCGACCTTAACTTGAGTCTTGATTCTTGGCAGCCTCCCTCCATTACAGCCCACTCCTACCTGAACAACAATGTGAATGGCGCTGCCAGCAACAACATCAGTACTCATAACTGCAATGAAAGTCTTTATGGACATGCTTCATCGATGCCAGAGCTGGCAGCTCATCAGACAACGCCACAACATCATGCTCAACCTCCAGCGACACCAACATCACCAGTGCGGAAAGTGAAAGGGAAAGGGCAGCTGAGTGTTAGGTTTGAGGGTGATCATGGTATTGAGAATGACATTGTTGATGCAGAAGAAGATGAAGCATGTGCCCCACCAAGACAAAGGACGTTCCCACGTAGCCGCAGTTACTCTGGACGTTCAAGACATCGAGAATTTGATGAAGAATATGAAGAAAGAAGGACTCGTCTGAGAGGTCCAAGGAAGACAACTTCAGAAAGTCATGTCCCTAGTGGCAGTAGGGACAGTAGGGATTACAGGGATTCAAATAAGGATGATGTAGATAGTTACTGTTCAACTTGTTCATCAAGTTCAAGTAGTGATGATTATGCGTATGAACTTCCACCTAGAAGGGCTTATGGGGGTGTTAGAATATCCTATGTGCCGAATGATGCTTTAGCTTGTGCAAGACGACAACAGTCAGCAGCGGCAGCAGCAACTGCCTCAAGCAGTCCACGTTCGCCAACAAAGAAAGTGGGTGGTAGCAATGCAGGGGAAGATAAAGACAAAAACTGCATAATCTCCTGATCCATGATGTTCTTAACTCAGAATTTATTCCGAACTATAAATGGAAGAATTCATTTGGGTATAAAGTTCCCTCAAGAGAAAGTGGAAGGGCCAAAAAGAAATGAACAGTGGAAGTAACAGGATATATATTGCTTTTTTTATACTCACTCCAGATGGATACAATAAATGAGATTCAAGCAATAGGGCTGTGCATGTCAGAAATTCTGGGTTAAATAAGACTTTGTGTTTGGATTCGTGAATAGGCATGAATAAATTGCTGAACTCTTTCTGTTGGCATTCTCAAGTCCTTCAGAACCAAACAGTTATTATTGACAATATGTAGTATCTAGACAATAGGTATTTTTGGAGATAACAAAATTTGGAAAGTTTGAATTATGATGAATGTTGGTAATATAATTTTATTCCTATTATATCTATCTGTAAAATGTATTTGAACATTAGTTGAAATTTTCGCTCAATGTTGTGTACTCTTCACATATTTCCAAGAACCTTCAGTTTCATTTTTGCCTAATGAATAATTCATTTTTATTGGCTAAAGCCTTTATTCCTGAGGAGTCTAAATGAACCTAATAATTATGCACAGCCCATATACGAACATTAATAGGCTGTTAGACAATCTGCAGATATGTTTATCTGCAAGGTAATACCAATAACTTTCATGAAATAGTGAATTGTTATACTTTTATTTTCTGTCCATAAAATCAGATCAGAAAGTAACTCAAAGGAGATTACACTTAAAAAACTAACTGAATTACATGATCACTTTCTCAATATGTATTTTGATGAGAAAAGGTCTTGCTGCAACAAATGGGAAAGATAACATTACAAGAATTTATAAAACCATCTGTATCTATGTGACCTGCAAAATGAAATGTGTCAAGAATGACAGTAGTAGCGCCTCACTGCTTATGTGATCTGTGACTGATATTTCCTAGTATAGAAAAATTAATGCTTCAATACTATTTCCTTAAGGGGGCACATGGTAGAATAGCTGGCTGAGGCACTATGCTACAAGCCAGAAAGTTGTGGGATCAAATCCCGATGAGGTCATTGGATTTTTCATTGTACCTAATCCTTCCACCCACATTATGGCCCTGGGCTCGAGTCAGCCTCTAACAGAAATGAGTACCAGGAATTTTCCTGGGGTGTAAATGGTGGCCAGCGTATAAGGCTGACACCTTTACCACTATCTGTGAGCTGACTGTCTAGAAGATGTGGGAGCCTCAACCACTCACACCCATATGGGCCTTCAAGGCCTGTTACAGGAACAGCTTTACTGTTTACTTAAATCATAACAAAACTGTTTATCAGTTATGCCATGAACAAGTAAAGAGCCATTCTCCATTTTGGTTTAAGAAGACAAGACTCTTGGGGTATATACACAGTACAGTCTTGAAAATGCAGAACTTCGGAAATCATGGATTAAACACTGCTTAATCTACGTTTCATATACAAATTTTTCCAAATGGGTCTATCATCAGTCATATGCGATTCATTGAATTGCTGTACTGTGTTATAATACTACATTGCATGGAAGACTTAAAAGCCTAAAAGTTTCTTAAAAACAGTCATTAAAATAATTCAGTTTAAAATTTATGTTATGCATTTTTTTCATATTCTTCGTCATTTTGTACTTGTATCTATGCATTATTGGCAGTGATGTGTATGTTTCTTTGATGTTTTTTTGGTTTTGTTTAATATATAGAAGATGTTATATATTGTATATTATATGTGTGACTGTCACATTTTACATGCTGTGAAGTATTACAGTACAGCATAGCATTTTAATAAATAATAGATACCTGATGATGGCCCCATATGACAAAAACATTTTGTAATGTACTACACGAAACATAGATTAAGTGGTGTTTAACCAATGGTCTACAAATTGTTCCATTTACAAGACTGGTTGATATGTATATCATGTGCTCAGCTAATGCCACATGATGCTACAATATTATGAATATAAGACTATGTTATTGCTGGGAACTGAAAAAAGAAATGCCTGGTGAAAACTAGAAGTGCCAGTTTTTGTATTTACTTATTTGAATGAGCAGCATAAATTAAATTAATTCTTCCCTCATGTACAAACAGACTGAGTATTAAAATTACTTTCTTTAGGAGTATGATGCTGTGTAGTTTGGTAAGTAGGTGCCAGTGTTTCAGAGGAACCTGCTGCCCACATCTACAGAGTGGTATTACTCTCAAAATGGAGACAATAGGTTCCTCTGAAATGTTGGTGCCTATCTTCCTTACTAGAGAATACTAGTCCATGATTTATTTGATCCATCTTGCAGTGCATACACTCATTTATCTCCTTCTCTCCCTCGCACTACATGTTTCGGCATAATAATGCCATCTTCAGGTGCTTACTTATCCACGTCAAACCAGTTCATTGCATGCCATGTTCACACATTAAAATAACTAAAATATGTATCTGTTATATACATTGTCAAACGTTAAAAATATTAAAATTGTTCAGGATACCACATCGCTACATCGCCCCTCACTACGTCAGTCACGCCCATTCTCCTTTGTTGGAGCACTCCTTCACTATCTTGTGTGTTGTGCTTTTGTTGTGTCGTGCTCCTGCGACTGCGTGTGTTATACTGTTGGGCTTCCTGGGTATGTGTGTCACACACATGTAGAGTATTTAGAGGTGCCACTCTTGGTATGTTTACTTTCTGGTCTGATGATGTAAGTTAAGGTAAGGGGAATATTTCCTCTGTTGACCCAGCATGTGCCATTTTCTTCAAATAATGTTATGTCAGTAGTTTCCATTACTGGTACTAATACATTGTCTTCCAGTGACAACCCTCCCTTGGTGCTTCTTCCATGTATTTAAGTTAGCAAAAAATCTTGACCATAGATGCAAGTATAAGTTCAGATTAATTGGGTTGAAATATAGGAATATTTGTTCACATATATCATTCTGATTCAGGTGTTATATTGCAATGAAAGCAATATGTATTCCTTTCAATCTGCAATGCCATATCTGAAAAGAAAAGGCTATATACACATCCTTTAATTGTCAGTCATGTGCGATTTAAATGTGATATTTGGTACTTATTTAGAAATTACATGTTCTTTAGACACAGGTTACAGGGCAATGCTATGAATTTAGTGGTTTTATTGTGTATCAAATTAGGCTCTTCATGATGACGTCAAAAAGTCAAAACATGTAGGGTGAACTTCCAAATGAAGTGTTGAACTTTCACAATATGAATGTCCCATTGAGTTGCATTTGAGGGTGTCACCTCATTTATTGGCAAATGGAATGCAGTGGGAAGAAACTCAGTTGTAAGGTTTTAGAAATGTCTTATTTCCTGGTCCGTGTTTGCCATGCTAAAAAGAATAATGTTTGTAGTCACTGCCCTGTTGAAAGATCTTTCAGTTACGGTAGAAGGTTGAATTCAAGTAGCATCATGTCATTGAGTTTCAATAATATTCCTTAGCTGGCTATGTGTAGGGTAGATAGAGAAATGTGAATGCTCTATTAAGCTGAAGAAACAACCATAAAAACAGATATTCCAGTTATTTCAACCTAACTTTCTAATAGTTTCTCCTCTTACAGGGGAATATAAATTATGTGCAAATACTAATTTAAGACTCATGAAAAAGAGGTTTTGATATTGTCCCACAGTCATCAGTCATTATGATATCATGATCTTTAAATATTTCCTGGGGTTTTACTTTCAGAGGTATTTAGTTCTAGATTGTTTGGTATTTCCATTATTAGGTAATTTATATAACTGCAGTTGTTTCAGTCTTTCTGTACACCCTTGTACATTTTCCATCCTCAAACTCTATTTAGTGAAAATTGTACATCACCAGTATTTTGTAATCCAGCCAAAATACTTTATGTAACCAACAATGTAATCATTATAATGTAATTCTACTAGCTGTTAATTTTGAAATGAGATAATAAAAATTTATATGAAACGGTATACTGGCACACATAAATTTTTGTAACAGAAATGTATGCAAAGTTAGAAGTGCTCAGAGAAACATTAATTATGGCATAGTTGTGAGACTAATATAAGCTGGTGATGTCTGACCTTTTATTTTGATTACATTGCATGTTCAACTGCGTAAGTCCCTCCAAGTTTTTATAAAAAATGTAGCAAAAATGTAACATATTGCTCCAACAGAACGAATTATATATCATATTTCATTCTCACCCTGAAGAAAATGAATAAAATCATTTTGTGCTCTGCAACTTGTTTTTGATACTTTAAACATCTAATGTTGAATTGTTGATGGTTCTCTTTCTTCAGTTATTGTTCTTAAACTGTTACCTGGAATTCTCCAGCCTTGTTATAAGTCATTAGCTTTTTGTTACTATACCATTTATTATAATTATTATAAATATTCAGTGCTCTAAATTAATAAACTGATGTCTACTGCCAGATGAATACTTAAATTATGTGAAATGTAGACAGCCCTCAAGAATATTGTAGCATGAATTAATATCATGAAATATTCTGATTTAACAAAGCTTGACAAGGTGCACTTTACAAGTTCACAATACAGGTTATCCATTAAAGACTGTTTTGTGTTTCATTTTTACAGAAGTGATTGAAGTTCAGAATTTTTATTAATTCGTAACATACTGATCTTTAAATTTTTATAATAATTTAATATTTCGTGCTTTTGTAATTGTCCATGTTTGTTTAGCCTTTGCAAATTAGACTTTGTTGTATACTTCAAAACTCTGTATGTTTCTGCTGAGCTACATAGCAAGTAACTTCTATTTTAATGCTATACTCATTTCTTGGAATATTCATTCATTTTCACATTCACAGATATACTTTCTTCATGTGATCTGAATTTTTTAAACTTTCAGTATATGCGGTGATACAGCTGGATGCATGCAACTCAGAGACCATAATACAGGCATTGAATACTGTGACATAAAAGTTGCAGGTCCTCAGGAATGTCCCTAACTATTTTGTTCTCAACTCCATACTTGGTAAGCATTTTTGAAGTGTCATGCATACACAGACATATTACATACATATTGCGATGCCAGAACTTAAACATCAGATAATACTGTAACCATGATAAATATTATGTTCAGTACAAGATGGTACATACATGACTGATGCAGGATGTGAGAGGTCTTAGCACAATTCTAATCATGTAATTTAACTGGAATTTTTTACAAGATTTGTGAAGATGATCCTGGGAAATACACTGAATGGTGGCCAAAGAAGAGTCAAGTAGATAATCACCTAAATAATTAGATGTTGCAGTTACAAGTAACAATCAGGACAAACAGTATGATCTAACCAGAGACTGTAAACATCAAACATGCATTTCTACTCCTTATAATTTGTAATATTCCCTTTGTATTCTGTAAATTATAATATTCCCTTTGTATTCTGGATTTTTCAATCAACATTTCATGCCATAAAATGCGACATCAAATTTAAAATTGGATGCAAAATGTAGGCATTTTGAATTGATCATGAGTATCTGTTTCATTAATTTTGAGCACTGATGATAATAACAAGTTACAGGCTCCTGAATCCTGAGTAATTCATGATTTGTAATTATATTGGGTAACATAAAGAACTTCTCTGTTAGTTGCCAAAGCCAAATGAACCTACAAGCCTTGTATATATGTTATGTAGATAAATGAATTAATGATATTTTTAAAAGTACAATTAGGTGACTGTTATGTCTCCATTATTAATATGTGCAGAATAACAAGTGAAGACTGAATATGCAGCCTTCGCTCAGAGAATTTGTTTTGTTTTTTAATTGTAATTAAAACTTTGCCCCAGTAAAGTGTTCTCTTCCAAAGATATTTTTTTAAGATTCTTTTTAAGGTTGTAAGAAGAGTGTTAGTGTTGTGGCAGTTTACATGCTTTGTGTATGCTTGTGTATAAATTGTAATATATATATAACTTTCTTTTTAGGAAATTGGGATTTGTAATCAGAATAAAATAGATTATCCATGAACATTTATTTTTGTTTTCATATTTCTAACCCTTAGCTGCCTGCAATAACATGTCTTTTCCTGTATATCTCAACATGTATTTCATATTGAAACAACCTGTTACCGTTCCTTATGAAATGACTTCCTACAGTCAAATGTTTCTTTCTTAGGTCACATAAGATGGCACATTAACTTCTGGCGATAATGAGAGATTTGTAGAAGAATGTACATGAGGAGTACTAGGCAGGGCTCTTTCCTAGCTTGTGGAATTCAAGTAGATGGAATTTGCTTAAAATCAGCCCTGTTCTCCACCAAAATTGAAGCAGGAAAAAGATTCTTGAAAGTCAGTTATAATCAGTTGTTTAATATAAGATTGCCAATGTCATTTTGAGTGGGTTTTTGGAGGATCATGTCAGAGGTAAGAGTTTACAGCAGAAGCTTAACCTGTTTGAAGCATGAGATTCATCATTATAGTACTTAAAAATTTTCCATCCCTGCAGGAAACTCGTTGCTCTCTGTTGCAAGCATCAGTAAGTTCATGCTGTGTAGCAAACTGTAATTCTCTGTGTTGCAAATGATAAGTCCATAAACGGTCTTAATTTTTCACTTAGAATGACCTGGGAATCACTCTCTGAAGTTGTGATATAAATTTATTATTATTATTATTATTATTTGGAGGGGGTGGGTTTCCCCATGCACTGCGACCTTTTGTTGATTTATTGTGCGTCCCCCTTTAATTATTCTAACTAGTCGCCATGCCCCTACAGTATTGGTGCTCGCTATCAGCCCCGTTCAGCCAGCGAGGTCGGCCCTCTCTGGCAATGGTCCCCGATATTTCTCCATCTACCGGATGAATTGGAAACTACTTGGGTCGGAAACTTTGCCAAGAACACTGTTAGTAAACTTATAACGGTACTGCATGAGATTATGAGTGTATGAATTCCAGTTGCAGATACAGTAATATTAACTGTACCAGTAGCCAACTCAACCAAACAACTCTGTCATTGTTGTGTGTTATTATTTTCGTGAAAAGTGCTTATTTAAAAGAGTTCCTTTGTATGGTATATTTTGTATTTGTTAAATGTTGGATGTTATGATTTGATTGTGGTGGCATGAAGTGGAACCCTTAGTCTGTAAGTAATGCAACATTTCATGCGATCAGTACAACAAATTTTATTAAAAGCTACAAGGCTGACAATATTTTTCAAGTTTGTACATATTATACACGTATGTTCTAATTTGGGTAGTAGTTTTATGAAACCTTTAAACAGGTAAGGACTCAGATAAAAATTATATCAAAATCTGTTGCTCTCTGCACATAATTGGAAATTCCGATGTGCCAGGCAAATTTGTTTATATGTGTGCTGTTATGTAAGACACAAATGTGTCGGACATATGTATGTATGTAATCGGACATATGTAATGGGAGTTTGACTAATGATGTGTTTGGAATCCAATTTCATAGTTTTATGAAGATCTTTACGTCTTAGTTACATTCATTTTAGATAAAATATGACGGAAATAAAATTATGTTTTATTAAAACATAAAGAAGTTTGGAAATATGTAAATAGTGTAACAATCATGAAATGTTCACACTCTCAATGTCTCTAATTTTAATGTTAATTATCAATACACGTTTATAAATAGCATAAAATACGCAGGGCAGAACGGCAAGACTTTCGAATATAATATGTGACCTAAGGTTTGTACGGTGTGAGGCTTACATAAAATATTTAATATTTGAATGTTATTCATACTGCCAGTAGAATGCAGTACTATCCACGGGTCATCACATAGTGCCATCTGCTCGGAAGTCTTGTGAACTTCACTTGAATATTGGGTACTCATAGATTGGAGTCAATCAATGATATAGAACTAGAGACCCTCAGAGAGTGGAAACTTTGAAACTAGAGGGTGCTGTGGGCGTAGAAGTGATTCATACGATTCGTTACAAGTAGATGATTAATTCAGTGTGATGTTGTGCAATAAGATTTGTTGTTTATACAGTAATGGTATAATGAAAGTGACAGTGAACTCAATAAAATAACCGAGAATTCGTTAACTGGGTAGGTTAAGAGAGAAAAGGTGTAGAAATCCCGTGAGGTAACTTCAGTCAAGTAGTGTAATTCCTATGTTTTGTGATTTAAGTTCATTGGTTGTCAGTTTTAGCAAGGAAAATGGTGAAAGTAAACGAAAGTAAGCCAGAAGACCAGCTTGAACACAGTCCCCAGTCGTTTTTGTCCATTGACGAATCGTTCGTTGTTTTGGAGAGATCTTCCCAAGAATCGAATGATCAGTTTGCATCTCATATGCTTCAACAGCCACCGGTTTACTCTGCAGTTCCTCCCCGTAACAGTTATACCGGAGGTTTATCTCGCCTGGAAGGCCAGGTTAGTATAATTTTAATATCCCCACCTGTGATACAAGGTAGGTGGCTAAGCTGGCTGATTGCATGTTACCTAAATGAAGATGTGAATTTCAGAATTTTGGAATCAGAAGTGTAGTCAGTGGTCAGCATAAAAATATTGACATTGAGTGCTCCCCCTCATTTTCTCAGCGCAGTGAGTGTACAGTCTGTTGTGGAATGTGTAATTTCTTTTTTCCGTGGTCATGTTGTGTCATCCCATTTGTCTCAGCCAATTGACTGACTCTAATATAACTCAGTAATTTAAATGAATTTTGTGTTTGTTATCCTTTCTTATCTTAAGAAGGAACATTTACAGGATCACATCTTTCTCATCATACACATGCATTTCACTCCATTCACCCTACATTAATGCATGTTTCTCTGTAATCATAATAAAAAAAAGTAAAGCTATCCTTGTAACAGGCCGTGAAGGCCCATAGGGTTGTGAGACGTTGAGGGTTCCACATTATCTAGACAGTCGGCTCAAAGATGGCGGTAAGGTTGTCAGCCTTACGTGCTGGCTGCGCTTTACTCCCCAAGAAAATTATTTATTTAATTAATTCCTGGTACTCATTTATGTTAGAGGCTGAGTTAACCCTAGGGCCATAGTGTGACCAGAAGGATTAGGTCAATTGAAAAAAATCCAATGACCTCATCGGGACTTGAACCCACGACCTTCTGGCTTGTAGCATAGTGCCTCAACCAACTATGCTACCACATGCCCCCACTTAATCATAATACCTGTTATAATATTCAACACATACACAATTGATTTGTTATGTTATTAACTCACTACATATTAATAAGTTTAATTCGTGGACTGGTGGCAGATCAGTGAGGTGCTACATGAGTCTGATTAGTTGACATGTTTCTGAGATCTCTGAAGATATCTTAATCCTGTAGCCACTGACATATATTTTAGTATGTCTTGTAAAGAAATATGTAAGTGATAAATCAGTTTATACATAATAGTGCAGCAGTTGGAGGGCACATAGAGCATTTATAAAAAAAGTTAACAAAAACTGATAACTTATTAGAACGTTTGTGACCTTTCCTGTAATTGTAGCATGTTGTCATTGTGAAATATACGACTCTGAAATTGGGTCCATCATTTTGAAACATGGTGTATGATTTGAATGGGCTCAGGAAAATTAAAATGTGTTGTCCATATGTAAAATCATAATTCTATGACAGGTTAGGAGGCTAGGTAGGTCAGAACAATTTGGATGAGAGCTGGTACAATTTCTTAGAGATTCATTCACATAGTTATACCAGTAATGCACTGTTAAGTCAGGACAGTGTGAAATGATTGATATACTTGAACAGAAAATTAGTAGAAAATTCGAAGCATATTCAGTTTTGAACTGTATCAGTCCATTATTATTACCATCAGACAAAGGCCAAAATTCACTATTGCATCTTTTAATTTCTAAACTAGCAGCATTCCCATAACTTACCATTCCTCAAATCCCTTCTAAAACTGGAATGCATACCCCCCCCCCATTTAAAATTATGTTTTTCCCCCAAATCTTTTCATGTTAGAATTCATGTTGCTTTCTTTTTGTGCAGACATGTGTTTAGAGTAGCCTATCCCCACTCAACTGATGTTTTACACACTCTTTTCAGAAAGGAACTAAGTTTGGTTTTAACTATAGTCATCTATTGTAAGAATTTTTGTCTTCTGGGATGTAATAGCATATAATCTTTTGAAAATCACCCAGCATTCTGGAATAAGGAAGTAAGAAATCAGTCTTTGCTTGCTGCCTGCTTCATGCTGGTTTCTTGCTTCACTTGTTTGTTGATCCTGAAGGTGGTGGGTATATTTTCTTCTGAAACATCACTTGAGTTTCAGCGTACTATATAGGATTATATCCCAGAAGATAGAACTCTTCAAAACCACTGCTGTGAAAATCTGAAATCTTACCTTTGTTATAGTTAGAATTCTAGACTGCATACACAAAGGCCATTACTCAAGTTTGGTGGTCATTGTATAGAAGTCCTTAATATCTAGCTGGATAGTACAAAAAATATGATGATAAGAAGCATTCCCTTGCAGCATCATCAGTCTCTGACACTGTAAAATGATAGAAGCGGAACACATGTAGAACAATAGTGCTTTCTTTCGCTTATCTGTCAGTGGCTTCAAAAATAATGTTGACATAAAAGTTCCATCATTAATTTTTTTGTGACAACTCCAGTGAAAGTCATGTCTACACCTTAGGGACTCTTGGAAATTCTGTGTGAAATTTAACTACACCAAATGCATATGTGTGTGTATATGATGCCTGTTATGTTTTTTCCCTTTCTGTTGTAGACTTCACAGAACTCCAGCTATATACCAGATGTAACAACAGATTTAAGTCCAGAAGAAATTCAGAAAAGGCTTCATGAATTGTTGCAGGAAAATCTGGAGCTGAAAGGTAGTTTTTGTGTTCCAGTTGTGATGTATATTTCATGGATATCTGCTCTCTGTCAGTCTTAAGATATCCTGAAAGTGTATATTATATGGTCTGTCCAATATTAGGAGTAGACTGTTGCTGATGTGGTAATGGCATTGCAGTGCATAGTAAGATAATACTCTCTGTCCCAGTACAGTACAGACCACAAGTTAAACATATGGCCAATAAGGATGTGTTTTGAGATAGACCTCTTTAATATTATAATGATGATAATCTATATGTATTTCTGTCAACATCCACTCATTTTTTTATATCCCTCATTACATATTTTTGCATATTATGTGTGCGATCATCGGACATTGCATAAACTTGGAAGTGTATCATACGTATAAGTATAGTGTCATTTATAAAATCTCATTATGTAGCACGCGGTAGTATATTTGGTTCAGGCACTGTGCTACAAGCCAGAAGGTCGTGGGTTCAAATCACAATGAGGTCATTGCATATTTCAATTGACCTAATCCTTCCACCCGCATTACGCTCTGGGATCGACTCAGCCTCTAACAGAAATGAGTACCAGGAATCTTCCTGTGGATAAAGGGTGGCCGGCAAGTAAGGCTGACAGGCTCACCACAATCTGTGAGCTCATTGTCTAGAAAATGTGGGAACCTTGATGTCTCTTCAACCCTGTGGGCCTTCACAGCCATTTAAAGGGATTGCTTTACCTTCTTTTACCATTATTATTAAATCATATGCAACATTATTGTCTGTGATTCATTTTCACTACAACCATATAAAAAATGTTATGTAACATGGCTCATTAAGAAAATAGGAATTGTAGAATTTGACTTGTTATGGTAGTGCTGTCACAGGTAAAAGCCACAAGACATCACAGTGAATACTTATTGCTAATTGCATCATAATGCACAGACAAATCGGAATTATTGCTTATGATACATCTTTTCTAGCATTTTTTGTACTTTATGTTTATAAACTTAAAAACACATGATATATCTGCATGAGATTTAGTTTGTATTTGCTCATATTCTACAGGTACAATACTTCTTATCCGGGAATTATGGATTCGCCAAATGTCTGAATCTAGGCCTTATATGTTGGATGTACCCATCTCAATCTGCGCTTAACAGTTTACCTGAAGCATCTATCTTTAATTTATACATAACTCCACATTCTTAATGCTTATTACAAAACACTTGCTTTTAGCCCTCTCGCTTTTCATAGGACTCCCCGTTTGGCCTTTACACATGACTTTGATAAAAATAGGAGAAAGAGTAGATACCACAGTAATCATGGAGAACAAGCATACATACAGTATATTGTTTTCAAATGATACTAGTTGGACATTGCCACCAACATGACAGTTTGAAAAACAGCTAAGTATCTGGACACTGGATAAGAAGTAGTGTACCTGTACTATACCAGTCTGTTCAATACATCAGTTAGAATTTTCTGAAACAGATAATTTGTTTTTAGAAACTTTGCAGCAGAACAACTTGGCAATGAAGCAGCAGTTCCACACACTTGCTATGTGGCAGGAGGAGGTGTTCAAGGTTCACCAGAACCACAAGGCCAAGTTTGCCGAGACCAGGGAGTTAGTTCTTAAGGTATAATTAACTTGTGCTTAAAATTGGATGTGTCCACACTTTTAGAGTGTTCACTGTGTTGGTTTGAAGTCCTAAATGTTAGGTTTGTAAACCTAAAGCTATGTCTTGGTAGATTCACCCATTCCCTTCAGAAGAAGAAATGTTATTTTGTGCATGTGTCTTATTAGTGGTGTGAGATGGAAGATTGTCAGCCCCACTTTGAAAAATTGCTGCCCCATAGGTATTTTAAGTTTCAAGTAACCAATATGAATGGTCTTTGAGCAAATCCATGATATAAGTAGTGACATCAAGGGGAGTAGTGGTGCCTTAGAATTAATTAGGGAGACTCATGTTCAATTTCTGAGGAATGTTCCAAAACAGTCATATTTTTGGACTGTAATAAAGTGAATTCAAGAGGGCAGACATAGTTGAGAATTCAAGAGTCATAATATTTTGACTTGATGGCAGAAAGCCAGAATTGTGGAGCGAGAGGAAACATCCATTCCTAGGCTACAGCTACCTAAACAACTGGCAATTGCTAAGCAACAGCTCTGTAAACACATTCCTGTGGCAACGAATATTTGCACAACAGTGGAGGAATTGTTGGAGAATAGACACAGTAATAGAGAAAACATGAAGACAGTGTTTTCTAGCAGTCTGCAGGTAGTCTTCAGTTAGTTCTGAGTTGGACGTGAGGGCTAGCCTTCAATAGCCAGTGGTGGCCAGACATGGCTAGCAGTCAGTGGCCAGGAGTACTGACAGTACACAACTTACTAAGTCCATCAGTTCAGTCAATCAATCAATCAATCCCAATCCTATAATCTTATTTTTTACACCAGCTGTCACAATTTTAGTGACTATAGACGGGGTTTCGATTGGTAATCAGTTTTATTGGATTCACGTAGCTCGTAAGTGCAGAGAACTACAACAGTTTCATTAAGTTCCCTTTAAGGTCACTGTAGCGCACAATGAGCCTTCTCAGTTTTGTTAGGCACCGTGTGGCAACAGCTCAGCTTCCGTGTTCCATGACAAAGTCAAAGTCAGAGTCACTTTATGACTGGCAGTTTACTGCCAATCAGTTCGTCTTGGTTCGAAGCCCCTCGAGACTCACGATTTTTTTTTCAGCAGAACCCTTGTAGTCATAGTCCTCATGTAACATCCTGTCTGATGAGAAGATGGGTTTGTCTGATATGAATATGCTTGACCTTCTAGTGCTAACACCACATCTTAATAGCACCGATATCTTGCTGTAGCTTTCTAAGAACATAACGCTCTTTACAGTCTATCGCACATATATAGGTGTCATCAGCAAAGAGACCTAGATAGACACCAGGTATTTGAGGCATATCAAGGCTGGTGCACGGACCAAACAGAAAACATAGCTTTCCACAATTCCTCTGTTGTTGCTTGCATAATGGTTGCTGCACTGATGTGCTGTTTACCATGGTGTAACCTAGCAGCAGGTGTCTTTTCTGATTAAACTATTCTGCCTTTCAGCAGACATGCCACAGTATTAAGAGTGACAGTGGTAGACCTAGAAGTATCCAATTAATGCAGGATTTCTGAGTTTCAAGACACCGAAGTATGCTGTTGAAAGCTAACTTATGAATGATCATTTAAAAGGCCTGTAGATTTTATCTGCACATTCAGACTAGTTCTGGGAACCACTAGATTGATACTGGGAACTTCTTGGAAGTAAGAGGAGTGAATGGAGATACTCACTCATATTCATCTGGTGCTGATGTCTAGGTTGCATATAGAATCTCCTCTGTTTCACATGTACTCTCTTGGCATGGCTCTTAGGCTAAGAGGCATTTATGTCCTTATTTTATACATTATATGTGCAGCTGATGAGCCAGGCTAGCTCATTCAATAAAGTGACTGCACAGGATGGCTCTTTTTCGCATTACATTCTAACTGGACATAGGGCCTGTTTACTCTCCCATCCAGTTGAGGGTAAATTGACCGGAGCATGTAAGCGGTCCGTTCACCCCTGTCTAGAAAGCGAAGAGAGGGTTTTAACACATGGCTAGTTAGAAAAAGAAACATTATTTGCAATGTTTAGCATGTCAAAACTGCATATTTGTTCATGACTTTCATTTTGACTTGTTCTGTATCCAAAGGTACTAACCTATTTAGGATTTATAGAATGTAAATAAATTCAATTCAATTCAATTAAAAAACTTTCCATGTGGAAACTTGGCTTCCTTGTACAATATTATACATGACGTTATCTGTCAACAGGGAATTATCTGTGAATTTAAAACGTGTGTATATAGTCTTAGAATCTTTGGTGACTGGCAGTGTTCAGAATCGCTTGAAGACATCAGCCTCCTGGTTTATAATGTATGAAGATAAGGAGCTTAAGTAAACACTCCAATCTGTTGATTTTAAGGTGACTGTAAAATGAACTACAGACTTGAATTTATCCAACACAGTGTGATTTATATCTCTGCGTCAAACTGGCAATGAAAACATTGTTTTTGAATTAACATCTTTATGTGTATTTTCTCAAATTTTACCAGTATGGCCAGTACAGTTTTCTGTACTTTGTGATTGTATTCCAAGCGGTTCAGCTACACAGTGTTTTAATTTTATTTTAACTTTTAATGATCATAGATTTTATTTTTCTAATTTTTTATTGTTGTTGTTGTAGCCTTATTGTGAATATGTAAACTTATACAGCAAGGATCATTCAGTTTTCCCCACATTTATACAAGTAAGAGTGTCCTACTTTGAGTGAATGTCCAACATTTGTATAAATATGAAAAGTGTAAACAACAAGAACATGTTCCAAATCATGACTTAGTATTATTGTTATTGTGTTTGTAGTTGAGAGCTGAGAATACAGAATTGAGGAACATTTTGGAAGAGAGTAAGAAGACAGGGTCAGGGATTCCAAATGCCTCAGAAACAAAGGTAAGATGTTGGGGGAGGGAGGGGAGGGCAAGAGAAAAACGTATATGTACAGTTGGAACCCTCCACAGGATAATCCCAATTTTATTCAATCATGAAAAGTTTGCTTTTTTATTTCTTGCAAACTTGTTCCTCTCCTCTTGATATCTTCCAGTACCTTAAACAGTCTTGTTATAGGTCATCTCATAGGCCACGTTCCTTTGAATTATAAATCTATTGCCCTTTAGACATACTTGTTATATCTTTTTTTTTTTTACATGGCCAAACCATTGTAATTGTATCTTCTCTAACTCTTATTAACAAATTTTGAATTCAGCTATTTGTCAAAATTTAATTTTGATTTCAACCATTTTCTGTTTTATTCTTAATACATTTGAAATATTTTTTATTGCTTATTATTATTATTATTATTTATTTATTTATTATTTAATTACATTCCATTAAGCCATACAAGGTCAAAGACCTATAGAATGTAGAAACTATCATTATAAATATAAAACAGTAAGCATTGTTTGATTTTGCTTTTGTTTCTTCTTGTAAGAGCTGCATGTTGTTAGCAGTTTAAAATGTACATTATATGCTATTGTTTTGAGACCTTTTTCTTTCATAATATTCCTTTTTAAATCTGGTAAAATTGATAGAATTTAGAACTGTTTTGTATTCAGTTAATCTCTGTATCATTCCCTTTTAAATTTGTTTCCCTTCCCAAATCTTTTCACCTGTTTAACTGCTATATCCTTAAGTTTTATTCTGAGAAGTATTGCTATTTACAATTATATATTATTGGTGTTGCTGTTGCTGTCTGGGTAACATTGCTATTTCCATTTTTGTAGTTGATGATGGAGAATGTTGAACTGGTAGGTAAAATTGCTGAGCTACAACAGAAACTGTCAACTCCAGTGCCAAGGAAAGAGCAGCTTCACAGTGGACCTCCCAGCAAGAAAGAGCAAGAGTTGAGTGCACTGTTGGAACAAGTGAACAGACAGTTGGAGACTGCAGAGCGTTCTAGGCGCCAGCTGACTGTAGAGGTAGAACATCTGACAGCACAGAGAACGCGGCTTGAACGGGATATGGCAGCACAGAAGAAGGTAATGGAAGAACAAAAGGAACAACTTCAGAAATCACAGAAAGAGAAAGAAGAACTGGAACAGAAGATAACACTCTTAATGGAGCAGGTGAGTTTGTGTGACATAAACTTAGGTGGACCTTGAGTCACAGTGGATATAGCCCCTGTCCTATTTACTCTGGACTGCCCAGCAAACAAAACGGTTAGCTGAAGCTTTGTTACTGAGAGATATGTTGTTCACAGTGACCCACACCTTGCACAAAACATGCTGACCAGTAGTGTTACAAAGCCATTGCATTCAATAATTACACTTTATGCTAACATTAAAGGCTGAAACCAAGCTAGCTCCCTCAAATGTTATCTCTTCTGGCATGTATTCAGTATTTCATTTCATGTATTCACCTGCCCAGTTGTATCCCACTATTATGATTGGTGTTCTTCACTGTTTTCCTTTGTTACTCGATGCATATCCTGAGATGGTATTTCAGATTAGGCAATGGTGGTAATCTTCCATGGCTTTTAATTTTCATTTTCACCAGCCATCCTATCATTTGACACAATGTAGTCTGTGATACTGATATTATCATTAAATATACCATGCATAAGTAAATAAATTACGAGTTGAAAGCAATATTCTAGTGAAGAACTCGTGTTTCTTAAATGCATTCTTTGTGATTTTACATATAAGCTTGTTTGAAAAGCTAGGCACAATATAGGTATCACATTGCATAGATCATAAGTTGGATCTCCTTGTATTTCATTTTGTATTAACCATATTAAAATATATTTTAATTACAAGTTTTGGCTTTTAATAAGCTCTATATTTCATGCCTTACAGAACTTTCTGCTCCATTAGCTATTTTTGAGAACCATAAATTATTTTGTTAAGAGTTTCATATAAAGTATTTGACAGTTAAATGCTTGCTACAATATTTAATATAGAACCAATACTAAATTTAATATAAAAATGTTGAATAGTTAAGAGATGTAATATGCAGACAGGCATACACTGTCATCCAGTGTGTGTTCCTTTTAAGCACTTGCCGCAAAGAACATACTAAACCAGAAGTGCAATAAAGATTCTGAATTAAAAATACAGACAATTTTGCTGCAAAAGGTTATCTAACATTGTTGTTATTACAGAAGGTTTAGGGTTTACAGAACTGTATGAAGCCTTCAGAGGTACAGTCTGACAGAGAATTTTGGTAAGGAAATATCCTGAGAAACAGTGGAATTCTGAAGAGAGGACAAAAAGATTTTAAGGATGTAGGTAGCAGGGGATATAATTGGATTGTGTTTAATGGCAAGATTTTGCATTGGCATTGTAGTAGAACCTTTACTTTCTGCTACCATAGTGTTAAAACTTGTAAATTATTGGCACTGTGTTATTTCCATAACAGTACCAGGAAGAACTTTCCCTGAAAGATCAGCAACTTGTTTCATCACCACCAATTAGTGGCCAACAGTCCAACACACAGGAAATTCAGAGGCTCACATTGCAGCAGGATGATCAACTGGCTCTAATTAATTCCTTAACACATGACCTGAAGAAAGAAAGAGCTAAAGTAAGACTGTGCAGGGCAACCACTAAAAATATTGTCACATGTTGGGTATGTCACATGACAAATAACTTCACGTGGGTCTCGGATTTAGTGAATCTTTATTGGACACTCACTCTTACACACCTTACAATTATTATTACTTGCAGTATCACTTGATTTCTGGCCCAATACGCTAATACTCAACTTCCATTCGAGGCCAGGCCCTTTATATAAGGTGCACGCAGACTCAGTAGAGGACCCCCTCGCCAAGGTTTGATCTCACGTCTTCGGCAATCCATTGCTTCGGGAATGCACCTTATAGAATACACTAGTAACATGTTTAATCTCATCTGTTGTTACTCAATGACAATTCGTTGCTACCATTTGTCACTGTGTTAACTCCCCAGTTTTCACGTATTTGTTGCCGTGGAAGTGTCCATTCCGATTGTAGCGGTTGTTGCGGCGATGGACATAAGATGACTCATCACAATATATTAAGAAAATAAATCTCAGCTTTAAGTCATCTTTCAGGTTTAATGATTGTAACATCTTACAGGGGCTGTAACAGAATCTTGTTCATTGTATATTTTTTGGGGGACACACATTAGTATAGTTTGAGGCACTGTGCAACAAGACAAACAGTCGCAGGTTTGATCCCGATGATGTCATTGGATTTTTTTTTTTCAATTTACCCAATCGTTCTAGCCACGCCATGGCCCATGGGTCAACTCAGTCTCTAACAGAAATGAGTACCAGTAATCTTCTGGGGGAGGGTGGGCGGAGTAAAAGGCAGCTGGCACATTAGGTTGACAGCCTTGCCACCATCTGTGAGCTGATTGTCTAGAGAAAAATGTGGGAGCCTCAATGTCTCAACCTTGTGGCCCTTCATGGCCGCTTACAGGGATAGCTTTACATTTTTCTGTATTTCTTTACCTCACCTAATGATCACACCACTGCTTGAAGTATTAGTCACCGCAGCATACTTTTAAAGGAATGTTGGTTCTCAAACTTTATTGTGTTGCTCAATTCATGGAATTAATTTCCAAGATTCTTAAACCCNTTTAAACTTATTATTACAGGGTTTCTAGACTTTGTTCCTTATCTTATATTCTGAGCAGAGCACAGTATTTGTGAAACCAGATACATTTCTGCCTGCAGTTTCCAAAATATGATTTGTTCATCTCTTCAGTATACAAGATGATAGACTAAGCAGACTGGTGTGGCAGTAGCACTTAAACTTGTTATTGAGGAAGTGCTCAATTCAGATCTCAGCTAATACACTGACTGAGGTTTTTCATGATTTCCCTTAGTCCCTCCAAGCAAATGCCAGGGTAGACCCTTGGTTATACCATGACTGCTTCCTTCCAAATCCTTTTCATTTCATTATTCACCAATGATCTATTCAGTGCTGTATAGTCTGAGATACTGACAATGTCATAAAGTAAACCATGAATTACAGACACTGGACAAAGTCCAGAAACCCAGAAATCTTAAGTGTAATGCACCAGAGCTGGAACCAGAACTAAGACTTTGACTGTATGTGCACTTTTATGAGATATTCTTCACGTAGTCACCTTCACTGTTTGTATTTATCATATTTTAATACAGACTTAGTACTGTTATGAGATGAGAAAGGAACCCAGGTTGCTTTGACTGTGGGTCTGTTTGATAGAATAAAACAGTAAAGAAAATACTGCGTTTTCATTTAGGTCTTTTATTTCTTCTCTCCACATACTTTGTAGTATGGTTATGTGTTGATAGGTGGCAGCAGGAACTGCAGCTGTGGAAGAAACTCCAGCCACTATTGATGAAGAAGCATCACTTGCACGTGACATGAGGGACTGTGAAGAAACGTTGGGACACATCAGTAGTTGTCTGGATAAAGAATCTGAAAGGTCTGTCTGTATCAATAGCATATTCAAGAGACATGGATATGAGAGAATAACATTAAATGGTTTAACTCTCTTGAGCTGGGATATCTTGGTCTGTATAGCTAGGAGCTATGGGCTAGACAGCCAGTGTTTGATTCCTGGCAGGAGAAAGATTTGTCTCTTCTCCATAGCTTCCAGATTGGCTCTGGAACTTACCAAGCTTCCTATCCAATGGGTACCAATGGCAATTTTTGTGGGGGTGAAGCGGCCGATGCGTGAAGCTGACCAGTCTCCTCAATCTAGTGCCTCCACTCCCCTATACATCTTCATTGCATAGTGAATAATTAATGAAGCTCAGGGACAGTTTTACCCCTCTCTTCTGTCTCAAGTCATCTGGTGGTGTGGTATGTGGTGACAACAGTGAAGCTTCAGGTTCTGTCTGAATAACTATAGCATTATTTTTCAACTTTTGTTCTGCTTTTGTGTTTACAAAACTATGTTCACATCACCCTTGATAGCTGACATTACTTTTCCTTTATATAATTTCATTTCATTTATTCACCTTCCATAAATCCTGTCGAGAATACATTCTCATGCGGATGTGGAGATTGTCCTAGTTACAGTCACAACTAAGAATTCTCATGCAGATGTTGAGATCGTCTTAGTTACAGTCACAACTAAGAATTAGAATTATTTCTAATATGTGTTACAGATCATAAAACATTTTAAAAGATCAGTAACAGATTAGGTATGAGTAATATATGTCAGGAGACTCAGTATTGTTAAAATGCTATTCTGAAAAGACACAGTGTTTGATAAATATAAAAAGTACTTCAAATATTGAAGCAAGTACACTTAAACAAAAGATAGCAACACAACCCATTACAGTTACAAAAGAAAACAGTGCAGAACATGATCACACTGCTATTACTGCACTTGGTTAGCTACTGATGAATGGTGGAAATGCTAAGACTGCAGTCTTTTGGGATGTGATGCCTTATGGTTTAATAGATGAAGACAAGTGTTTTGGAGGAACCTTCTGCCTTCATTATCTAATTTTCTATCCTGAAAATGAAGGGAGCAGGTTCCTGTAAAAAATTGGTAATTGTCTACCATCCCAGAAGACTGCAGTCTGCTTATTTATTTCTGTGAGAACCTCACCTCTTCTGTAGAAAAGCATTTGTGTTCACACTGCCACAGTGTAGAGACCGATGTTATGGCACACTGGCTGAGAACCACTGATGTGTCACGACTGCAGTGAGTTCATCATTTAGAAAGCTCTTCATGGGATGCATCCTGTTGTGTGTCATATATGAGCATTTAAGGGACGTCTGCACCACACTTATTTCGATAAACAAATTGATACTGATGTACCAGCATTTGTTTAGTTGGCAAAGTTGTCACTACAGGTTTCGATCCTTACAAGGCCATCATCGGGCGAATCTACAGTAATGTGATCTTAGTCATTGAATTGTTTTCTTAATATGGATCCATATTATTACAAGCAAGCAGTTTAGACAGAGAACATTAGAACATAAAAATGGGGATCCCTTTGCATACAACACAACATACACAAGCAATAAAAAAACTCATCATATGTGGAAAACAAAAACAGAAGGGGTGACATAAAGAAAGCACTCAAAGAGACCACTACAGGATGCCTAGATATGGTAAAGAAGTAAACAAATGTGACACTCATAGAAGGGCCTCCACACATTGCTTCATCCTGTGCCTTACCATGTAACAACAACCTTAACAAAACCTGACAAAGCTAAAAAATTTTACTTTTTAAGCTAATTTCAGTTAAGCTTAAAATCAAAATATAATTTGCGTAATTCATTTTAAGATTAAAATTATATTAATTGAAATCATATGTGTCATATTAATTTTAATTTCTAAGTTTAATTTAAAAAACTATGTATTTGTTATATATATTTTAACAAAAGGGTGTATTTGCTGTTCAGATGGTAAAATATTGTAATAATATTGATCCATGTTAAGAAGACAGTTCAGTGACTTAAGGTTACTTTTCTCTAGATTTGCCTGATGATGACCTTGTAAGGGTCAAAACATGTAGCAATGCCTTTGTCTTTTCTTACAGGTTCAGTAGTTTGGACAGCTGGCTCCAGGTGGCATCTGATAGCATGAATCACTGGAAGGTGAATCAGTCTGTTGATGTCAAGACTGTGAATGCTCTTAAGGCTGAAATAGAGGAACTGAGAAATTTGCTGATTCAAGAGAAAGCTTCTAATGAAGAGAAGAAGTAAGTAATCATTTCTTTGACATCTGACAGCTGTTGTTTCTGCAGTTTTCACTACAGTCTGGGTTTGATTCCCAGTAGGGGCAATAGTTGTTTCCCTTCATCACAACTTCCAGGCCATCTATGGGGCCCACCCAGCCTCTTACACTGTGGGTACTGGGAGCTTTTACTCCAGGACAAACACAGCATAGGTATAAAGCTCTCTAGTCACCTGCATCTGGTGCTGTGATTAAGAATGGTGGAACTATAACTCAACTTCCCCATGCATCGTCATGGCACGGTGCTTGAGTAAGCCCAGGGATTACTTTACCTTTCATCTTAGCTTCTGTTTAGTTTTGAAATTATTTCTTTACCTTGACTTAGTAGCACATGTAAAGTGGATGATTGATTCTTAAAGTATTTAATTTTCAGCTGCATGTCTGAAATAACGTCAAATGAGATGGTGAAATAATCATGAATGATGAATAGGTAAGGACTAGGAAAGAGGTGGTGGCTGCCTATTTTGAGCTACTGTTCCAGCATTTCCCTGGAGAATCTCTGTAACTTGAAGCTGACCAAGATTCTACCCAAGCATCTCCCAAGTACAAACCTAAAGCAATGTTTCTGTACCAGCTTACTTGATGGATGCTATTGAATGAAAAATGTGTTAATTACTGAAATATCTCTCTTGTGTTAAATGGATATTTTAATCACAAATTATATTTAAGGCATAATGTAGACCATTGGAATTGTGTCCTGAGCATGTGTATTTCTTTCATAATGTGAATAAACTTGGAATCTACTATGAACTTGAATATTGGGAGTGAAATGTATAGTGATTCCAATGTGTCTGCCACAAGTCACACCGTGGTGTTCAGCACCTCTGCTTCATACACAGGTGTCAGGTTCAGATTTTGGTCTAAAGGCCATGATCCTCACTGTGGTTGTTCGTGGTTTCTCATTTATTTCAAGCAAATGCTGAACTATAAAATTAAAATATTTACTGCCATGCAGTTGTAACTTGTTGAAATCCATAAAAGTAGTTTTTCTTGATGCATGTCAATTTTTTTTAATTTAAAATGTTCTTTTTAATAGTAGATACTGTGTATTCATTCACTGATCATCCTACTGTTCGGTGCTGTATAATCTGAGTTACTGGAAGCATCAGTAAATGAACCATAAATAAATTAAATTCATCTTTACAGAATAAAAAAGGACCATTATAATGTAGAGTAGTGTCTCCTGGGATGTGGCACCATGTAGTCTTAGAAGTTACCTGCATCAGTAAACTTCCACCAGACTAAATGGCATTACATCTCAAAAGAAAGTCACTGGCATAAGAATGTCAAAATCTCACACAGACCATTAGGTTGTCATCATTTTTCTCTCTAATGTGTATGTGTGATCTCACACCAGAAGGATTTCTTTTCTGGTTGTTGGTTTGAATATGATTGTTGAATTTTATGTTATTGTTTATAGGAAGAACTTGGAGGAGGCTGAGGAGAAGTTCAGAAAACTCTACTCAGATTACCAGATGGTTGTAAAAGAGTTGCAGAACTTCCATGAAGAGCAGAAAGATAAGGATCGTCATAATAATGCCTACTTTGAGGTACAGGCACGAGGCTTCACCGAGAAGATAGACAGCATGACGGCACAGCTTATCAACATGGAGGAAGCACTCACGCAGAAAGAAAAAGAAGTGGCTCAGATGAAGGAAACAGTGGAGAAATGTGAACTGGAGAAAGAAGCAGTCACCATTCTCAAAGCACAGGTGTGATCATAATTGAACCATTACTGTTCAAGGAAGTGCTGAAGTTGCTCTCATACCTGACAGCTCATATTACTGCATGTTTTCTCTACACAAAGGGAATTCTCATAAGGGGAAGTCTTCAAAATTATTGACTGTTTTTAAATTAAATTTATTATTTGAAATTTTTGACTAAAAGTTGGTGGGCCAGTTTAATTGTAGTTTATGTTGGTCCAGTATGCCTACATTACATGTCTTCAAACCAAACATAATCAGCACTGTGTGTGCTGAGATATGAGGCTGCTTCATTTGGTAGATCATTGTCAACATTTCAGAGGAATGTGTTTCTTAAAAACAAAATTGGTTTGAACATAAAACGTAGGTCTCCAACACTTCAGTTGGGGCCTTTTGTGATATGGTATATAAGACTGAAGGAAAAATATTTGGTGATTCTGTTCTGTGACTCTTTAATGCAGTTAGCTTTGCAACAAGGGATTTACCTCTGCAATAAATGAGGATCAAGGTCAGTGATATAAGCAGTGTACCAAAATCCACATTTGGAAAGTGTGCATGTTTGGTGTGCACTTTTACACACATGTTAGGTGTACTTTGCACAGAATTTATGAAATGAGAGGTTAGTTGGTTGGTTATATCTGCCATTCATGTATTTAATCTTCAGTACATTGCAGTGCAATTTCTGGAAGGGGAATCTGAACGATTCTTCCAAAATTATAAAATGCATTGTCAACAGAGCTGAAGTGTGATGACCTCTCTAAAGAGGGAGAGAGACTTGTAATAATTGTAACAGGCTAACTTGGTCTAGTATTGGATAGGACACTGATAGCCCATTAGAACAGCATGCATTATAAAAGATGTTTCTTTCTCCAGGTTGAAGTTTACCAGTCTGATTTTAATGCCGAGCGAGAAGCTCGTGAGAATCTTGCTGGAGAGAAGGAGAGACTGGCAGAAGATCTGCGACATCTCCAACGCCGCAACCAGCAACTGCTGGATGAATTAGAGGCATACCAGCAGAACCAGTATGAGCAAATGCAGAAACATGCACCACCTGCTCTGGTTGCATCAGCACCAATGTAATTAGCTTGCTGCACCAACTAGAGCATCACTTGAATATAATATATCATTAGTGTCAGCAATTACCACATTAGAAGATGTGGCGTATGCATCTTTTTCTTTCTTATTGCTAGTGGGGTGGGATGAAGTTCCTTGTACTGCAGCCACTTCTGGCCTATTGTACCAGCCCCAGATAATAGGTGAGGGTGATTGTGAAGCAGTTGGTGGAATGAAGATTGGCAGGGGAAACCGAAGTACTCGGAGAAAACCTGCTTCAGTGCCACTTTGTCCACCACAAATCCCACTTGACCAGACCCAGGATCAAACCCGGGCCACCACAGTGGGAAGCCAGTGACTAACCGCTTGAGCCATGGCACGGCCTGGCATATGCATCTTAGTAGGAGATATTTTGAGAATATTTTGTGGGTTTATTATTAAGTTTCATGAAAGTTGGATCTTCCCATGTATCTTTAGTATGTTCCTTGCATGAACAAAACCCCTGAGGAGTAACTTTTGCATTGATACCATTCCTGAAGTATCTAACATGGCCATATTGTTGAATAGAAGGTGTATTCTTAATTTGGGTGATGACTTATTTAACAAGTGACCTATTTGATAATATAGAGGAGTGGTCAGGCCTCGTGACTTTAAGTTATTATTAATAAATATTATTGTTTATAGTTAGTAATTATAGACTTGTATATGAATGCAAATACCAGAGCAGTATATAGAACTGAAAATAACACATTTGGAAATATGTTTTCACTAAATTGGAAAACACTTGGCCACATTACTTTTTCCTAAAGAGCCTCTGCCTTCTGATAAGAATGAAGGAATTCATGTCTGAGGCAGATTAAGAGTGGAGACTGATCATAATTCCATTCTTAAACTTAAGCAGTGATGTTCCAAGTTAAAATTTCCAGTCCTGGACACTGGAATTGATAATTTAATTGATGGTTCCAGTATCACAAGTGGTTGGAACACGATAGCAACCCCAGGGCGAGCAGAACCTCAGAGACCAACTAGGTCCTCTCCTGGCAGAAGACCTTCCCCAGGTCCTCAGCAGCAGAATCCATTGCCAGCAGCAGAAGAGGATACCCAGCCATTTAGAGTGAGGATTATGTACATTGCCTAACAAATTACTGACTGTTACATTTGTTTGGTCATGGTGGTTCTATGCTTGAGTTTATTAACATAACAGTGAAGCTTTCTAGCGCCTAGAATTTGCAGTTGTTGCAGATTTGAGTATTGACTCAAACAAAGTTGGTGAGACTGGCTCAGTGTCTCCAAACCATTGCCGGTCTAGATCAAAAAGTATATACCATTTAGCATTATAAATATTATAGATACAAAATAATGACTTGTAGTAACAATGATTGATATGCTAATGTATTTTCTAGTCTATCTATCACAGCAAACTCACTTTTTATAAATGAACAACTGAAGGCATGAGTTGATTGATGAAATTGGTTAGTTACTAAGAATGCACGCTGCATGTTTCTATCATATATGACCATCATCAGGCATTTAAAATATTGAAATGCATGTCAACGTACATTACTGGACTGCTAATTACAGTGGATTCATTGTAGATAGTCCTGTTTTACACAAAATTTCCTGAGATTACAATATTATAGAAAATATCAAATTGATTATTAAGTTAGGTGAGTCTATAATTTATTTCCATTATTATAGTTATTAGTTAAGAGTAGATGTTAAAACTTCAGTAGAGGTAGGTAGAATGTGGTAGGTAGGTAGGTAGGTAGGTAGGTAGGTGGTATCAGCGGAATACTACTGTGTTTAGGGTATGTTGTATGTGGGGACATGAATGTGTTTTTTTTTTTCAGCGTATGTATATCTTTTGGGTGGAGTACTTTGAATTTCCAGTATGTATCTAGTACTGATAACTTCATGCTGAACTTGTTTTCTGTGGTTCATCTGAAAAATTAAGAATATATATTGAATGGACATAATCTTTGTGTGTGTATTTCTTCATGGCTAGAACTACTTGTATGTACTTATGCATTTAACACTCACTGATTATTTTGTTGTCCTGAATTGAAGTGCTCTCTTGTGAGTATTTTGATTGAAGTTGCTGTTTCCTGGTTTTATATTTAACTCTTTGGTTATTTTGTTGTACTATATGGAAGTGTTTTTGTGAGTTTATTGGCTAATGTTGCTTTTTTCTTAGAAGATGAATTTTGTGTGATCTTAATGTACTATAGGGATATGAATATATATCCTATGATTATTGGTTAATACTTATTGCTGATGTAGTTCCATTGTTGCTATAGATGTATTGGCCCATTGTGTTGTTGGGAAAGGACTGAAGTTCTCGAATTGGTAATGTCAGGAGTGATTATGGTCTGTGGGAGTGATTGGAGGGGGAGAGAAGACAGGAATGGAGGAGTTTCTTTAGGTGGTGGGGGTGGTCAGGGTATTAGGTTGGTGCGTAGTTTTGTGTTGTGTGGGATATGTTTTTTATAATGGGAATAAATTACAGACTTACCTAATTGAATAATCAAGGCACAACAGATCACTGTGGGTGTGGTGCAAGGGCCAAGAAGGCCCACCCCTTACACTTTCATTCAGTTGAATAATCAATTCAATATATTTTGTAATATTGTAATCTTGGGAAAGGTTCTGCAATGTATCCCATAACTAGCAGTCCAGTAATGTACATTGACATATTTTAATATTCTAAGTTCCTGATGATGGTTACATATGACCGAAACATGTAGCGTGTATTCCTAGTAAATACTGATTTCATCAATAAACTCATGCCTTCAGTTATTTATTCATGAGTAAGTTGTGATGGACTAAAAAGTACATTAGTAGTAACTTACAACAACAGAATGCAAAAGACACATCATCTGTGTAATGACTGATAAAATAAAAAGTAAAGCTATCCCTGTACCAGGCCATGAATGCCCATAGGGTCCCACATTATCTAGACCAGCCGTGTCAAACATGCGGCCCCCATAGCCACAAAGTGTGGCCCCTCAACTTTTAGAGCTAATTGATATTAAAATCAATATTAAAATTATAGTAGAAATATTTTTTGTAAAGACAATTTTCCAACAGACCAGAAGACAAGAAGACTCACACAGACATAAATTAGCAGGCTGCAGGAAATTCAATGTTTTGCTATTTCTAACATAATTTCTTGTGTAATCTCTCTTTTTACATATTGAAAAGCTGTTTGATACTTGTCAAAAATGGCATTCTGTTGCTTTTTAAAACTGTATATATGTGACTAGGTAATTGTATTGAAATTATTCCTAAATAATAAATAGAGTTAAATTTCCTTGTATATTTCTATTTTGAAGTGCAGCCCTGGACTATTATTTATAGGTTTGAGGTGGCCCTCTGTACAAGTTGAGTTTGACATGCCTGATCTAGACAATCGGCTCAAAGATGGCGGTAAGGTTGTCAGCCTTACGTGCCAGCCGTGCTTTACTCCCCAGGAAAATTATTTAATTAATTCCTGGTATTCATTTCTGTTAGAGGCTGAGTGAACGCCAGGGCCATAGTGCGGCTGGAAGGATTAGGTCAATTGAAAAAAATCCAATGACCTCATCGGGACTTGAACCCACGACCTTCCGGATTGTAGCATAGCCCCTCAACCAACTCTGCTACTGCATGCTCCCATAATGACTGATATGTCTATGAAAATTAATATCTCTAGGAAATTATTGATTCTTGGATTATTTAGTGATGCTGTTTGAAGTTTGTGTTTTGTAAACCATCAAATGAGATGGCAAGTGGCTCATGAATAGTGAATAGGTAAGGACTTGGAAGGAGACAATCATGGTCTGTTGTAAGATATCCCAGTATTTACCTGGAGGAACTAAGGAAAACTGCAGAATCCCATCATAATTGATTGAAATTGGTCAAGAGTCAAACCAGGTATCTTTCAATCAAGGCTATAACAGGGTCACTGCACTAGCCTGCTGGGTATGATTGAGCATTGTTAGTGAATTCACACTATTATGGAGAGTTATGTGGGGTTAAATTTATGTTTTATGTGCATAGACCAGTTCAGTGGAATTAAAGTCTTTCATGCTGTTAGCAGTGATCATTTAATTCTGTCATTCATTCTAGGCCTTATATGGGCACTCAGATGTTTTAAGCAATAGACATGCACTTATGACAACCTGTGTCTTGCAGGTGTTTGATGAGGAGGTCCCTCCACCAAAACGCTTCTTTTGTCCTGTGTGTAACATGGCATTTGCTCAGGTGTCCCTTCTTGAGTATCATGTTGAGACATGTCTTGAATGACATTGAGAAGGTATGGTTCCCATATTCCTATGTGTCTGTTATTATACCTGTAAACATTGGATGGTGGAGAGGGGATTATTTGCAGGTTGTGCACAGATAGATTGCACATTATTACTTAAAAGTGTTATATGTTTCAAAAGCTTGATTTTTATGTTGTGAAATTTGAGAGTCTTGCAGTGGTAACTGTAGAGATTATTATCTTGTGGGATGTGAAGCCATGTGATTTGGTGCCAACATTTCCCTGAAATTTTGGTACCTAACTGTCATACTACATGGTGTCTCACCCCAGTATGTTGATTCTTAAATGAGATACTTTCCATCATATTCACTTCTGGCTTATTATGTTTCTTAAGACAAATTTATTTTGTCGTTCATTAGTTCCTAAATACTGTGCAATGGTGTGAGTTAATCTGGCTCAGGACAGGGACCAGTGGTAGACTTTATGAACACAGTAATAGTCTTTAGGTTCTGTAAAAGGCAGATAATTTCTTGATTAGCTGAGTGGCTGTTAGCTTTTCTAGAAGGATGCTGTTCCATGAAATGAATGAGTTAAGTGTGTTCATTCACTCACATTTTTTGTCCTTGTTTTCAAAATGGTCCATTATAATCATTCTTTATATGTCAATATTACAGTCATCTGGGATAGGATGCCTTATAGTGTAGTAATGGAGTAGTGTTTTATAGAAACCTTCTGCCAATGTTTTAGGTTATCAACATTTTAGTGGCAGTAGGTTTCCTTGAAGCATTGGTACCTATTTTTCAAACTCCATGGTCTCGCATTCCAGAAGGTTGTAATCTTAATGAAGTGGAACTCCCATTTAATGTTCATCAGTTTAACATTTTATACCATTTATTCAGTTCCAGTGATCCTAAGTCAGTAATCCCAGTGTTATTTCCTCCATTTCAAATTTTTTGCAGTTTTATGTTCAAATTCACTGCCTCTTTGGGAAATCTTAAACGGGAGGTTTCACTATATTCACCACCACAAAAACTTTAGATCTCATATTCTCTACATATTGTAACGTGTTTCGTTACTGAAGACGCCATTCAGATTGTTAATTGGTTTATTTAACAACCTACAAGTCTCGGCTACAATTATTTATAACACAGTTGTGGGTTTTCACACTTTATAACCCTATTCGCAATAATCTGTTCACACTGTTGCGGGGTTTCACCCTTTATAACCCTATTTGCAATAAACTGTTCACTCTATCTTCAAGAGTCTTCACGTATTAATAACGCGGGAGCTGTAAAAGTCTCTCTGAATTACACACTCCAAATATAACTGTACTATAGCACACAATAAGTCTTCCACTCGCTGACTTCTTAGTTATCGCACACTGTCACATAAAATCTTGTAACCACGTGTTCAGGTCTTCTTACCGCGACTGCTGCTATATTTCAACTCAACTCGTAGGCTGCTGGCTTGAGAACTTGAGAGCTAACTTTGGTGGCTGATACACTTTAGACTGACAACAACTACTGAACTCGGCAACAGCTACACGTTAACTCAACTCACTTCAAATGCACTTGGCGACGGCCACATTACAACTCACCTCGCAGGCAGTGCTGCTCTCTTATATAGTCGCAGTGTTTGCCTGTTATGTAGCAACGCTGTTGGAAGTTGTTTATGGGTTCGTAGCAATTGCGGCGTTGCGCGTTATGTCACTGCGGAGGGGAGAACAGAGCGTTGACTCATCCGCCACGTCACAGTGGCCAGAGTTGACACGTCACTGCTGGGTAGGGAGGGGGTTGTCCTCCATTGCGCAACATGTCACAATATTTTGTCAGTGCTCAGGCTTAATTTTCTTCCAGTTATGACAAGATTGTTCCTCCCAAGATAAATTTCAAGAGAACAAATACAATATTAATTGTATGTTTTTGGATAGCAGGTGAAACGACAAAAGATTCTGAATTGGGTTGGGCAGTAGTGTAACAGATCTTAAAATTCAGAGACTTTAGAACTTGTATGTGCTTTCTGTGAAGAAATTCATACATCTTAATCAGAACTTGTTACCAAACAGGGCAAACAGTTTGGTGGGATTTGAGGTAGTCATGGCAGTGAATATTAAGATTACATCCTTCTGGGATATGGCACCTAATGTTGGTTGGTAGATCAGCAGTTTGCAGGAACCTTTAACCTCCATTTTCATGGTAGAAGAGAGTAGATGGATATCAAAGTCTTGTAGGAGCCTGCTGTCCCCGTCTTCAGAATGGAAGAGTCCATTTACTCTGAAAATGGAGGCAGGAGTTTGCGCCAAAACATTAATACTTATCTACCAAACTACATAGCTTCATATCATAGAAGAATGTAGTCTTACCCAACAGTTTTGTCTGTCCTGTACATTAAAATTCTGTTTCTCTAAAACTGGACTATCTCATACATTCTGATTACTTTGGAGTTTGTCTTTTATTGAATGTTCGGTTTAGTTAATTAATGCAGGCATAGAATGATGTGGCTGTTCATTGTGTCTGAAACAAAGTGCTTTCTGTGTCAGAAACATTCATTCTACGTTTAGCCAAGAGAATTTCTGTGAGATGACAATATCGCATCATGTTGTACAATAATTAAAGTAACTGAATGTCGCAATTTTGTAGTCAGCACTTCACATTCAGTTTTTGGCCCAGAGGCCAGCCATCTTTACTGAGCTTTTTGTGGTTTTCCTCTTTCCCTCCAAGCAAATATAGGACTTGTGCTTTAAATAGACCATGATGTCTTTCTTTTTGCATCCTTCCCAGTCTAGCATTCATTGTCATTCTTTTGTGTGACACTGAAGCCCTTGTGCAGTTTAGGAAGCGGTGTGGAATCAGCTGACGGAAAACTGTTAGAATGTACTCAAATTTGTGCTTTTGTCTCTTGATTGGACTTCTGCATGTAAAAGTGGATTTGCATGAGTATTAGTCTGCTGCATGTGCTTTGGTGAATTAATATTTTTGTGCTATTAATTAAAGGTGATATGTATAGATGATATGCTCTTATTTATCGCATTTAACATTTGTTGACGGTGTGTTAAATTATTATATTGGCACATGTCCGTGGTCTGAATTAAGAAAGACTGCAGTCTCATAATAACTGAGAGATTTAAAATCCCTGTTCCTAGGTGATATCAAAATTTGATTCAGGAGGAAATTTAGAGGAGATTGAATTTGGGTAATACTTGCTTCTATTCAGTTGAGAATCTTTTGTCATCTCATCTTCTGTCTAAAAATATAAAAATTAGGATATACAGAATTGTAATTTTGCGTGTGGTTTTGTATGGGTATGAAAATTGGTCTTTGACTACAGACTGAGGGTATTTGAGAACATGGTGCTGAGAAGAGGACTGAAGAGGGCTGAAGTGATAGGAGGTTGGAGAAAACTGCATAATGAGAAGCTTCATAACCTGCGCTCTTCATCAGATATAATTAGAATGACGAAGTCAAAGAGGATGATGTTGGTAGGGCATATAGCATGAATGGCAGTGAAGAGGAATGCATATAGTATTTTGGCAGGAAAGCCAGACCACTAGGAAGACCAAGACATAGGTGGGAGGATTAAAATGGATCTTAGAGAGATAGGATGGGGTTGGTATGGACTGGATTGATATGGATTAGAGGGACCAGTGGAGAGCTCTTTTGAACATGTTAATGAACCATCAGTTTCCATAAAATTTTGGGAAATTCTTGAATAGCTGGGTGACTGACAGCTTTTCAAGAAGGGCTTAGTTCCATGGAGTTAGTTATTCCCAGATGATAAAGGAGCATATTTGTGTCCATTGCAGTATATATATATCTGTTGTTTTTGTACCATTACGTTCATTTATTTACCTTTCCTCTGATTTGTGTTCATCTGTTTTATATTATGTAATTATTATTTAGTTTCCTGCTTACTACATTTTTTCCATTTATGTTTGCAGTATTATGGCATATACTGTAGTGTCACAGTGCCTGAAAATGAAACTGATTCTTTACAGGCCAGATAAACCTCAGATCTTGCATTTTCTTTCTTTGTTTGTGTAGTTATGCTGTATTATTTGTCTGTTAATATAATATTCCGCTTTTGTGAATATAGATTATCCACATGCTAATGTGTTTCATACTTCATTTGCTGGTTTACACTGTCTGCATGTTGCCAGTGATAGTTTCTTTCATAGTGACTGTTAACATGTGATTTGAAGTTTTCTCAGTAGTGTAGTGTTTGATTATGGTTCTCTCCATTATGACACCATGTACTCTGGTGGAAGGTTACCACTGTTTTAGAGGCACATGCTTCCTCCAACTTTGTGATATGAAATGGATGCATTATGTTCCTCCTGCACGTTGGTAACCATCTACCATACTACACAGTGCCATATCCAAGAAGAATACAATCTTATAAACGATGTTGTTATTTCTTGGCTGTTGGAGAAGGATGGAGAAGATCATTTGGACCGATTATGTGAGAAATGAAGAAGTGTTATTTAGAGTCAGTGAGCAGAGGAATATCCTACACGAAATAAGAAAACGGAAGACTAATTGGATTGGTCATATCTTACGCTGTAACTGCCTTCTAAAAGAAGTTATTGAAGGAAAGATAGAGGGCGGATAGAAGTGACCAGAAGACGAGGAAGAAGACGTAAGAAGATGCTGGATGACCTTGGGGACAGAAGAGGATATTTTCATTTGAAGGAGAAAGCTCTAGATCGCATCAAATGGAGGAACTGTTTTGGAAGAGACTGTGGACCTATTGTCTTGACAGATTACAGATGGATGAATGAATGAATGAATGAATGAATGCATGCTGTACCATATAGATATATATATACACTTGTATTTATAGATGATATCAAAGCAATAATTAGTTATTGTAATGTTGCATATTTCAGACTGAGCCTGAGGATGTATACTACTGTCCAAAGTGCAGCAAGCGTTTCTCCCAGTTTCCACCTTTGGAACTGCATGTTCAAGAATGTTTGGACTTGCTGCCATAATGTCAGGTATATGTGACAAGTATGTTTAACCTCCTGGTTCTTTTAAATGATTGCCTACACTTATATAACAGTGTCGGCACAAGTTCATATAATATATAGGTTATTTTGGCAAATATATTTGTAGGAAAACATATATTTTATGAGTAATGAATGTTATTGCTTGTGCCAACTCTGACTTGTGTTACTACAGCTTTTTGCTGTAAAAATGTGTCATCAAATCATGGGGGATTCATCAGATTACTTCTTTACTCAGCTGTGAGGCTTAGGCTTCAGTAGTTCCGTCAGTTTTCTTAACGCATTATCTGAAAAAAGAATTGTCTGCATTTGTGTACATTTGAGATGATTTCATTTAAGTACATAAGTGTGGCCAAATTTCCTGATATTGAAAGCCAAGATATCTATCTGACTGCTATAGCAGTGCCACAAGTATAACTATACCAGTGGCTCAGAGGGACAAAGCAGGAGGATCCAGCAGCAGGCCTCTTTACATTTTTTTTGTGTCGGAGGAACTTCTTCTGAGTGAAAAATGGAAAATTGAAGTTTAGTGTGTCTGGATGTGAAATTGAAGTCATTGGTGTGCTAATTCTTGAGTTCATATTTTCAAATAAAATAAAATGGTGGGCACAAGGACTAGAGCCACATGGTGCCACCGTCCTCATTCATATGCTTGAATGCGAACTTTCATAATCTGCACATGAGTGAGGAGTGTATTGCTTTGTGCATTTGGTTTTCTTGTGGTATTGCTGTATAAAATAGTTTTTACTATTTCTGCAAAATAACTGGGTTTTTATTTGCTAGTAGTGTAATAAAATGTGGGACATATACAGTGAACCTACACTGTAGAGTTGTTTGGTGGTAACTTGTTATATGTACTCAGAATTACTGGGTTTTTGTCTTGTCCATCATGGAGTATTCTAGAAAACTAGAGAACACAGCATTTTGGAAACTGGGATCTTTCCATTTTCAGGTTAGGGCGGGGGAGATGCCTACTCTGTTAGGTCCCTTAGAAGGAACTAACATCAGTCACTGGACAACATATGTCAGTGTAAATACACCTATATAAGTACCTGAGACCAGATTTTGTCAAAGGGGATGATAGGAAAATATGAAATAAAAATTGTGATAAAACCTGCACAGATCTTGCATGCTTTGTCACAGTTTTTATTGCATATTTTCCTGTTATGCTGTTATTAGAATATCGAGCAATGGACAAAGTCCAAAAACCCAGTAATTTTGAGTGTTGCACACCATCATCAGAATACTTTAGAAAATACTATATATATTACTGATAAAAAGAAACATAAGCAAGTGAGTGGTTGGACATGAAGAATGCAAAATGGTGAATGTGAAAGAAACAGAGAGAGAGAGAGAATTGTGATGATACATGAATAATGAAGCGGAGTAGGATTTACTATGCTATCTTAAGTACAGGTACTCTCCAAGTTATGAATGTTCCACTTACAAATAGCTCAGAGGTAGAATGTCAGCCCAGCAGGTTGACTTCTTCCCCTGCCATTCAGATGTCTCAAGGCTGCTCCAGTTTCAGTATTTGTCACCTTTTGTTGTTGCCACTCTATATATCCTATGTGATTTGCATTCTTTTTAATCTTATTTTACCATTAATATAAGTGAAAATTGGAATTAAATTCTGTATTATGACTCCCAAAAATGTCAGGTTGTGTGAACCAAGATGATGTGTAATTAAGAGCTGATACAGAAATGAGTTACTGTGAATGCACTATGTTTGTAACTTGGGAAGTTACTGTACTTTAATTTATTCGTTCCCTTGTGTTTATTTCAGTCCATTTGGACTGTATTTACGTTGATCAAGATATTACAATTATCCTTCTCCTTAATAAGGTCTGGAATATTTAGTTTAACTCATATAAAAATAATTGATTAAATTTATGAGGAATTAGAGGTATTTTTGTAATCAGACCTCATATGAATATATAAAATTCTATATGAGAATATATGTTTTGTCTAAGAGACCTTCTATAGCGTACTCTGAATGGTGTTTTGGGTGATAAAATTAGTCATTTCAATTTTATATATAAACTATTATATTTTTCATTATGTGTTATGTAGTTATATTTTACCTTATTGAAATGATTGCCTAAAAGTTACCGCTAATTAATATAAGCTTTTCATCTTCCAACTTTCCATTCTCCTTACTTAGTATTATAATCAGTATGTAATTGTAATGTTGAAGTGTGATAGATCTTAAAGTTCCATGGCCTATCCTATTGAATGAGGACCATATTAATGTAATTTTACCAACATATGCAACATTATTTCAAGAGTTAAAATATTACATTAACCAAGCGTACTCCGCCAAACTATATTTAAGCCTTGGGCCTTTAGCACACAGGACGTAGTTTTCCTACTGCTGATGTTATAGAACAATCCATAAAATATTATAGTTATTTTTAATTATATCCACAATTAAGAATCTATGCAGTACAACTAACTTGTATTGATTTGCTTATTTTATAATTTTATATCGGTTGAAATAGGGGTTGGTACCCTTTGTGTGATTGGGGGATCATGGTGTGGCCAGTAGGGTGTGGAACGCAGCATAGAATGAAAACTTTATTGGATTCCTCTGAATGAACGTTAAAAACATCAGGAATTGTGCATTGAGGGTTCAAAATCAAGCGTAACGGATAACAAGTTCACAGGTCATGTAATGCTAATTTTTAGATATCTTCACCAGAGTTTGTTCCACAGATTCTTTTGGAAAGTCTCGTCTTACATGTTTTATACCCATTCCCCCTGCTATCCTGAAATAATTTAAGTTTCAGTAACAAATTCTTTTAGAAGATTTGAGGATTTTATGGCAGTGATTGTTCATTTGTGGTTTTCTGGGTTGTGACACTTCATAATTGTGTAGCTATGTCACCAGCATTGTGGAGGAACACATTGTCGTCAAGGTAAATGTGGAAGCAGCGTGTTTCTCCAATATTGGCATTTATGTTCCAGACTAAATGTGGTCAAAATCTAGGTAACTACAGCCAGAACCAGTCTTTTGTTTGTATCATAATATATTGAGACTTGTGTGAGAAACTTCTTGTAAAGAAAATTCAGTTCATTCTGACATTTCAGCTGCAGCTACCATCTTGATGCAAACTTACTGTTTTGGTGAATGGTCATTGCTAAAATCTAGATGGAAAAGACATGTTGAAGGATGATTCCAGAGAATAACAGTTTTAATTTAGGAACCTGTTCCTGGTGTTGTAATGCTTAGTGAGGAGTGTCATGTTGCTTCACATGAAGACGGGTTTGTTGCTAGTGTATAGGTTTCAGTTTGGAGTCTAGTTTGTTCGTATCTTGGGTGCTGCTGTTTAAGCTGCTCTGTACTTTGGATCTGATACAGACAGACCTCATGTTCCCTTTATTGTGCCATAGCAAACAAGTTACCATAATTTTATGTTTGTTTTCAAACTTTCATAGTCTCTGTATGCAATGAAGTCTGCTTGGTGATCAGTAGTTATGTGAATATGGAATAAATTTGGAGTGAAGTATCAAAGGACCATCTTCTGGATGCATACTGCGAAATGTACAAAAACCTTTTAAGACCTACATTTAGAAAATGCCTAACTTTCATTTGTCATGAGAGATTACAGATGTCACTTTTTCAGCTTTGTATGATCTTTCTGTTAAAAATGTTTGGTGTCAGCTTGGAATGTTGGTAATATTATGATAGTAGCAGCTTGCCTGAGCCAGGAGCAGCATCTCAAACACTGGTAGAAAATTGATGTGGCTGCTATATTTTGTTTTAGAATGTTGACAGGAAGAGAAGTAGGAAAGAGAAACATTTAGGCCTGCAGTTATTTTCCTTTGTATTAACAGTTTATAAGATTTGTGATCATTATGTTGAAAGTTGAGAATGCGCAGTCAAGAATGTAAGAATGTTAATTAAATATCACTTTCCTGTATTACTATGTAAATAAAATTCTTAACAATACAGAAGTTCTTAATCAGCTGAAAAAATAACTGCTCAAGGAAGAAGCGTCTAGTTAGGTAGCCGTGTGTGCATGTACTCGTATAAAGAACATGGTTGTATAGCAGGATTTCTCATTTTGCTGGGACCACAACTCCTGGTACAAGATATTCACAGAGCTGTTGGTACTCAGCTGAACAAGAACTTCCCCTCCATATGGGATTTGATGTTTCATATCACAAAACCCTGCCATTTGCACAGATTCCAAGGCAGTTGACATTCCTAAGGTCCATTTTAATAACATTCGTCCAGTCACTATCCCTACTGGTCTCCATTCATGACATTTCCCCAGTGAAAATGCTGACTTTCTTGTCTTTCCCATATCAGCATCAACAATTTAACAATTTAGCAATGGTTACACAAATCTAATAATTACTGCTTTGTAAACACAGGACAGATTATTAGGTATAGCAGTAGGCTATGGGCTGGACAGCTGGGGTTTGATTTCCAGTATGTGCAAGACATTTTTCTTTACTCCACAGCCCCCAGCCTGTCTGTGGGGCCCAGCCAGACTCCTAGCCAGTGGATACCAGGGTCTCTTTCCCCAGGAAAAAAGCAGCCAAAGCATGATGACCACTCTTCTCCGTCTAGTGCTGAAATCAAGAATAGTGGAGCTGTACCTTCGCTTCCTTATACATGTTCATTAATTAAGCACAGGGACAGCTTTGCCTTTAACATTTTTATCTGATACTGGTTGTTCTGTTCGTCATAGGCACATGAGGGTGGATGTATGCCACAGCTGCCAGCAGTCTGTTTTCCCAGAAATCTCTGAATTAGTATTTTATGCATTTTTCAAAGTGAAGAACCCATGTGTTATAGTTGGGTCAGTATAGAATATATGAGTTGGTCGCCATATCATCATCATTCCCAGTATTGCCTTGTTTGCTTGTTACAGGCATTACAGAACAGATTCTTTCAATCTTGTGAAATTTTCCTAAGCATCCTTGTGTAGTTTGGTATTTATTGACAAATGTTATCACATCTCATTCTTTCAACATGTTGGATCCAGTGTCTTCTGTAATCTTATACAAAATCTGTTCATGAAGTTTGTATGTTTGTCGTTTCCTCATCATCCAGATTGAAGACTGAATTCAGTGTGCAGATATGCACAGTAATTATGGATACTGGCCAGTGAGTCTCAGTAGAACAGTGTGATACAGATGTCACAAAATGTGTTTGGTGTTACAGAGTGTTCTGTTTCTGTAACCGTGATGCATAAATGAATTAAAATCTGACGACACACACTTAGATTTTGTGTTAGTGAAGTTTTTCATTTGTACCTCTTGCAGTAGAGCATATTTTCATATAACATACACATTTGAGCATTTCTGGTATTACATTTTCAGTAGCTACTGTATTCCTGAGTTTTCGTGTTTTGGAAATGTCTGGATATCCAGTGGTTTCATAAACTGCGCTTTATACATATACCTAAATAAAGAAACTCAAGGGATATTAAATCCTGTTGACTATGAAGTAGTACTGCCTTATCACAGCCAAAATCCTGAGATCTTTTGATTTAGAACAGTTCAGTGAAAGTTACTAAAAGGTGGCAATGCAACATAATGTTAGGAAACATTAACGTCCTCTTCTTTCAGTTGCAGAAAGACAAAATTTTCAATGGTATCAACATCAGCAGTCCCCATTATGGTAGCCTCAAAAAAAAAAAAGAAAAACATGACAGTGATACCTCAATATGTGCTGCTCTACAGGAGGTGTACATACAGAAATTTACCTACACAAATTTTAAGCATGGTTGTTTTCACTTCCATTTTTGTTTCATTCAGTTACGTATCGTTACAAAAATATAATACTTCAGATCACCAAATATATTTTGTGGACATTGTGTATTGGTGGACTGTCTGCGGTGTGTGCTTCAGACAGGGTTTTCATCTTTCAGAGTGAGACATAGACTACTTTATCAGTTTATGGTGTCATAAGTAACACAGTTTCCTTATTCTCATAGTGCAGACTAACACTTCCTCTTCCACTCATTTCTTCTGCAGTATTTGAGTAATACGCATTCGTGGAGTCTGGCCCTGAGAACCATTCCCTTGTCCTCATGATAGCAGCCTGCAAGTACACCATCACTACCAGCTTGTGTTCGTGAGTAATCATATTTTTATCTTGTCCATAGACATTCTTTACATGACATGAGGAAACTAATCTCTTACAGGCAAACAGGGACATGGCTTTTTGACTTCTGAAGCATCATAAGATTTTGGTTAAATCTTGTGCAGGATCCCCTTACTAAGGTTCAGTGAAGAAATTTGTTTCTAAAAACAGCTGGCACTTTGCAGGAAGATGTAAATGAAATTTTATGTTTGTCTCATTAAATATATGTGAAGTACAAAATCGTTTCGGAAAAAAGTAATGCTGATCTCAAATAGCTTCCTTCACATGGCATGTTGCCTGAATATAATATTAAACATTTTCCTTGTCTAGGCTCCTCCCACTTAGCTGATACTCCAATTCTGGTTTTTGCAGCATGCTAAAAAATAAACAGGCCTTAACCCAGGCTTACAAAATTCATCATCATCATGATATTAAAAGAATCCGGCATAAAACTTTATAAACTTGATAAATTTTAACACAATTTTTGGATGTATTTAGTAAAGGTGATTACATTAAGACTGAAGGAACAAAAATAATTACATATTCATATATAGATAGTTATCTATCCATGACCCCCAAGTAGTTTGTGACGTGATATTTCTGAAAACAAGGAATATCACATGGTATTGCATGTAGTATTTTTTTTTTGTAAGAAAATAAACATTTTCTTGTGAGATTTTGTAACTCTGTTGTAATTCTCTCTCCACTGTGTACCATAGGAGAGGTATAAGAAATTGTTTCATTCCAGGTGACATCTATTTATAAAAACACGAGATAATCCACCTAAACTAGATTCATAAATCTTAGTGATGACTGAAACATTTTAATGAGGACAAGCCTAAAACTTCCCAGAAACGGTCAAGGGGTTGAGAATTGTTCAGCAGCTGTTTCACCTTTCACTCTGCTGAATGCGAGGTCACAGTTGATGAACAATAATTGTTATGGTCATGTTCATACAGTGGGTAAGTTTTCAATAAGGCTCTAGTGAAGTGATTTTTTTTTTCTTTTCGTTTGTAATATATTGTCCCTTAATACTGCAAGTCTACTTCTCTTGAGGAATTCTATGGGTAGAGCATGGTAAGTAATGTGTTTGGAATTACATCGTAATCCACGAAGACATATGTACAGGTACATATGCATATGAAAATGGTTTATGAATGCTGTACTTTGAGAAATGCACCAGAAAAGGTACAGAACGTGAAGTCCCCGGCCTTTTCTGTCAAAAGAGTTTAGTTTATGAAAAGTGGTTTCACATTATTTCCTACCTTTTTAAAATCAGAGTTACGTGATTTAGACAGACATATGTAACAGAATGTCAAGAACTATGTAATGGAACGTCATTTATCCTGAAATGTTGTTTTATCCATCAATTCGATTCCTTGTATTGGAGTTTTTTATTTATTGTCACTGAGAATCACTGATCAGATTGGCACAGTAGCAATGAATCAGACTCACCTTCGAGAGGTATCTGGTTCCAGTGCTAACTATCCTGACTGATAGTTCTGATGATTTTCCTCTGTCTTCCAGGAAAATGTTGGAATAAATGATTGGAATTCTGTATTTGTTAGTGGAGTTAGAAGAGAAACAGTTACAGAAATGGGCAAAACAATCATACCAAAGAAAATAGAATTAAAATTTAAAGGAAAGAACCATGTGGGATGACCCAGAACAAGATGGTGAAGCTAGATTTTGGAATATGCCAAGAAGAGAGGAAAGGGCTGGCAAGAAATTAAAAAGGAAGGATCGTGGGAAGAAGTAAGGAGTTGGACACTGGTGTTTTCCGATGCATCTGAAACAGAAGCGATGCCAGAAGGGAACATGTGATTACCATTTCATCGTTTACAGTCAAGCTGTTAAGCATCATTTGACAGAGAGTGAATACAGTAGTGATCCATTGGGTTCAGTGAGAGCAGGGAATATCTAGATCAGCTGAGTGACTATAAGTTTCTAAAGAAACATTATGCGTCAGGGGGTTAATATGGATTAAATGGTTCAGACGTGAAGCTGACCACACACCTCGATCTAGTAATTAGCTTGGCATAGTCTTGGTAGTCACCGTTGTGAGAAACTCAGGTTCAGCATACAAATTTTGTGATTTTGCAGGTTCCTATTTCCAACACATTCGAGAAAGCATGTGTTAACAGGTCAATAAACGTGATATACGTTTGGTCATATTTTGTGATGATTCACGTGACATCTTCACTTTATGGGAAGCTAGATCGTTTATTTAAGACAGTTTTTTTTAACTGGATTCTGAGCAAGATGTCACAAGTGTATGACATTCTGGCTTCTCAGCTGTGAATATTAAGTTGCCGTCTTCTGTGATGTGACACTGTAGCTAGGTAGATGGATACGGATGTTTTGTACTTAATTCCGTCTTCTACTGCCCAGAAGATGAAGGGAGTATATGTTCCTGTGAAATGTTGGTAACTGTCGGCCAGGCTTAGTACTTGGACATCCCTCAATACCTTTATACATTTTTACATAAATAAACATTACCTTCACTTCTACGTATTCCTACGCTCACCACTGCCTGCAGTTGATATAGTGTCGCTAATAGGATGGTACCAACTCCACTGAAATGAGCTACAGTTACTAACCTAATCTGTATGACTTAATGTATTTTATCCATTGCTGTAAGACACAAATATATTTGTGCAGACCTGAAGTATAATGAACGTGATAGCAGTCCAGTCTGGTAAATATGTGCCAGGATACACAGCATCACCACCCAAAGACAGAAATCTTCAGTCTCCACCATGAGAACCTCAAGTGTCACATAGTCCATAGTCATGTTTCATATGGAATCAGCAGTGCAGCATCCTAGTATGCATTCATAATCATTCTACCATTTGACCTATAGGAACTCTGCAGTTGAAAGCCGTTGCAAATAAATCTGGAACTCCACAATTCCAGACTGCCCATTCATTCATTCATTTATAACTCTTAGAATGTGTCATAGGTCTTAGCGTGACTAGAGCGATCTCCAGTTGAGCTAAGGAAACAAAACATATTAGTTCCCCCTGGTTTCGGTTCCTGTGGTACCAGGCTGTCTGCTGTTGTCCCACGTCATCCCCCTGTCACCTCTCTCACATCCTCGTTTTCTTCACCCTCTCTAACTGGACACAGCTGGGATGTTTAGACCTGTCTTAATGAATGAAATACAACCCTCAACTTCCTACAGGATTCCCCCAACTCATATGCCTTTATGTAGGAGTGTCTTTCGCAGTTCACGGTCTACTGTTTCGGAAATGTTACTCACAGTGTCGAGTTCCTTACTTTTACACTGTCATGAAAATTCATAGAGGGAACTTACGTCACAGGTATGAACAGTACGGTACCGAACTGAAATCGTTATCCCTGCGTGTATTCAAACGCCACTCTTTGAAGACGTATGGGGGATGTAGGTATTAGTCGGTATTAGTTCCTCGTTTTCTTTACTCGTCACTAGGTGGATGTGGCTTTACTTCCGGTGAAAGACCCTTCAATTTCCATTAGATACGAGGCTGGGTGTGTGGGTCTCAGAGTTGTGACCATCCCGGAAATAAAATCCGCGTTTCTTAGTCGTCCAGCCCATATCCGAACTTACATTCTGTTCAGTTTTTACATAGTGTGAATACGGTAGTGATCCGTTGGGTTCAGTAAGAGCAGGGAATGTCTAGATCAGATGAGTGACTATAAGTTTCTCAAGAAAGATTCTGCTGCAGGGAGTTAATGTGGGTTAAATGGTCGGAATGTGAAGCTGACCACTCACCTCGATCTAGTAATTAGCCCCGCGTGGTCTTGCTAGACACCGTTCTGAGAAACTCAGGTTCAGCATACGAATTCTGTGATGTTGCAGGTTCCAATTTCTGACACATTCGAGAAAGAATTCGCTTATTACGAAACGCCTTTACCGACAAAATAATCATGCTATTCATGCGGCGAAATTGAAAGTAATACTATTTCGCATGTGTTCAGACACAAGACCATAAATTGAACGTGGCTTGGAGATAAAACTCCATTCATTCTTATACCTGGATCAGGTACAGAAGAGGTTAGTGTCAGCATATGCGGTGTGCCCAGACCTCGAAATCAGATTGGCGTAGCGTGAAATCTTTCATTAACAAATGAGTTGTAGAAAGAATTTACGATCCTATTTCTTTGAAATGCTACCATCTGCATAACGATATAAATTATTGGCCTTTTTGTGTGAACGTTTTACAGATGGTTACAACAATTTGATTATTGTTAGGCATAATCTTTTTAAAACCCGTCCTTGTCACTCACCCCGAAAGATGGAGACAGTGCATTACTCTGAAACGCTGAAATCATCTTCAAGTAATACATGGCATTATAACTCAGAAGGCTTCTGTATATGCTGCAAATCGTGAAAACCTGAAATCCTAAAGCTTTAATTTTACTTTTCTCTTGCATGTTGAAATCTGTTCGTAATTTTTATCATCATTTAATACATTACACATGTATGTACAGTTTTATTACAAAATAGCTTTTACAAATTTCACAATCTACTTACAGTTTCAGGGGGAAAACCGATAAAATTATTTAACTCTTGAGAGGAATTGGAACGCTCGCTTCACGTCACTCGTTCCAAAGTCTTCTGCATTGCGGAAGTACTATTTGACATCCGCTACCTGGCAAAAATATGACAGTTCATAAAAATAAACTGGGTTCAATATTTTGTGCCCCTTCCTGCAGCCAGGCGTGGGGTTTGAACATTTCACTTCACACCGATGATGGATTCTACAGAAAATGATATCTTGGGCTTAGTTTTCGGAGACGAATGGTGTTTCGTGTCGGGTAGCGACGTATTTCCAGGATCTAGTGGGTCAGAGCTTGGGTCTGTGTGGGTGGTCAGTGTGGGAACAGGTTGGAGGCAGGGAGGCGGCCAGAAGGCTGCTTGTGGAGGCGGCACAAGGGGTAACAATGTGAGGGGCAGACCCGCCAGGAGGCGGTCTCGAAGTAGCGTCGCATGTTCGTCGGGATGCTGTAGTAGTAGCGTCGGTGGCAGCGCCGTCTCTAGCTCGCGGTCAGCAAAAGCGCGTCTCTTTCTAATCCTGTCGCTCAAGAATGTCGGTAGCAGTGACCCAGTCGGCGTCGGAAAGCGTCCCAATCTCTGCCGGTAACCTGGGAAGGAGTAAGAACATTTAAATTCCGCTGTGCGAGGTCATCTCAGTTAGCCCAGTTCCCTGCTTCTGTGGATTTCGAAGGTGCACCACCATGTTCATAGAAAGTTCATGTTATCGCCTTAATGTTTGATGAAAACGAGCTTGCCGACTAAGGCATGAAATGTCTTTACCCTCTCGAGCACTGGGATCGTGGGTTCGAATCCTACTGCAGGCTTGGACGTATATATGCGTTTTTTCTGTGTTTATGTTGTACTGTGTAGGTTAGCGGTCTTGCAACGGCTTGATCCCCCGTCCAAGGAGTCCTACCGCTTATCTGTGAGATTCGTAGTTTTCAGATTAATTCTGAAATGAGATGAAGCCTGAGGGACTAATGCGTCAAAGGAAGAGGAAGAAGACCATTTGTTGGGGAGAAAATAATTATGAACTTCCTCGTTGTGCATTTTCTCCCTCGTATTACATTCTCCGCCTTAGGGCCAGATGTTCTCAAGCGTCTTCAGCCTATTGGGTTAAGAGTTTTGTCCCTGTATAAAGGTAAAGCTATCCCCGTAACAGGACGTGGAGGCCCATAGGATTGTGAGATGTTCAGGTTCCCACATTATCTAGACAGTCAGCTTACAGATGGCGTTAAGATTGTCAGCCTTACACGCCGGCCACCGTTTACCCGCAAGGAATATTCCTGGTACTCATTTCTGTTAGAGCCTGAGTCGACCCAAGGGCCATAGTGCGGCTGGAAGGATTAGGTCGATTAAAAAAAAATCCACTTCATCGGGACTCGAACCCGCGACCTTCCGGCTTGTAGCATAGTGCCTCAACCAACTACGCTACCGGGGATAAAGCACCCGGGGCGTGAAGCTGACCACTCGCCTCGAATTAGTGCGGAGGTTAAGAAAACATGGATCTATATATCCGCTCCCCATACTCCTTCATAGCGTTGTGCTTAATTAGCTAGGCACATGGACAACGTTACCCTTATTATTATTATTATTATTATTATTATTATTATTATTATTATTATTATTGCTCTACAGCCCTTTATTGGACCTCGATCGCTTTTTTCTTTTAGCTTCGTTATCCTGTACACAGTCGGTAGGACTCCCTGGACGGGGGATCAGCCCGTCGCAAGACAGAATAAACTCAGACAGGCATCCATGCCTCGATTGGGATTCAAAACCACGATCCCAGTGTTCGAGCGGGAGAAGACAGTTCATGCCTTAGACCGCATGGCCATTGTGATGGGTACCGTTACCCCAACATGTCGGATATATTTGTGTTCCGATCTACAGTCTGCTGATAAAGAATTCCTCTGTATCTAATGGAGCAGAATGCGAGCCACCCTAGAGTAATAGGTTTATCTGTTGGAATGCTGAAAGCGTAGACCCACCACTTACGTTACATTTTTTTTGTAAGATCATCCCCATTTCTCTGACAACGTGAGCTGCAGATGGGGAGTAACATCACCCAGCGGCCTTGCACCATATTAATGGCTGACCAGATGTGTGGAACCCGATGCGAGGAATCCCTAACTTTGCTAACGATGTACCCAGGTTTGGTGCCACGCAGTCTGTTATCTGTTGGCGCACTATTATGCCTCAGTGCAGCAGTGGCTTACGTCCTTTGGATAATAATTGAGCCTCAGAGAGATGACTAACGGAATAATGGAGAAAATTACCTACAGTTGGAGCGCCACAGTTTATTCACTTTGCACAATACTGTTACGGTGATGATCCAGCTAGGGCGAAACAAAACAAATATTGGAAAACCTTAAAGGAATAGACCGTTAGGGAGATCTATGCATAGATGGGAGATAATTGAGTTCAAGATAAAGTCCGATAGCAGGCTACTTAACAACAAGAAATGTCTTTATGAGTAACTGTCGCCTGCTTAAGTAAGAGCTTGAGCAGTGGCGTTACATAGTACGTTCACGCCAGAGCTGTGACTTACGTTCTAACACACTTGAGTCTAACGCTCGGTACTATACTCCACTTTTCCACGGAAAGTCTAATGAGGGATGTTTCCCCCTGAATTCTGAGGTAAGAATGCGCTTAACACGCGGAAATGCTTCGCTTTCCCTCAACTGCAACTCGACTCCTAAACTGGCAATAACTTTAACTTCCTCTTACATTTGTCTCCTGCTGTTTGTTTCGGATTCGTCGAGGGTCTGTAAATAAATAGTTGTCATACTGTGGTCTGCGAGCGTACTATGGTTCATATCGTGGTTGACCTTAGTCGGCGAAGTTGTATGGTAGGACGCATATACGTGTATTCCAGATTCTTATGTCTCACAAGTTTTGCAGGTTATTGCATGCCTTATTGTGTACTCAAATCTGTTGTTTCAGATGCAGATGCTATCAGCTGTAAATTTTTATTCCTTACATTTCGTTAGCTGATTATCGTCGGGAACCTTTCTCAGAGCAGTTATATATCTTCTTATTTTGAATGCTAGTGGGGTGGGACTAAGTCCCTTGTACTGCGGCCACTTCTGGCCTATTGTACCAGCCCCAGATGATAGGTGAGGTTGATTGTGGAGTAATTGGTGGAATGAAGATTGGCAGGGGAAACCGAAGTACTCGGAGAAAACCTGCCCCAGCGCCACTTTGTCCACCACAAATCCCACTTGACCAGACCCCGGCATCGAACCCGGGCCGCCGCGATGGGAAGCCAGCGACTAACCGCTTGAGCTATGGCGCGGCCCAGTTATATATCTTAATACAATGTGTATGTTTTATGTTATATAGCGGTCTTCCTACGATGAGCCATTTACAAAATGTCAAAGGACCGATATGAAGTATGTAAGTTTTGAGGTTTTCACGGCGATGACAATGAAGAAAGTCGTCTTCTGGGTTTAGGTACCGTGTATTCTTCGTTTCGGCCGACGTTTCGGAGGAACGTAGCGCCTCCATCTTCAGAGCAGTTGAATGGCTTGGAATGCGGAGAGCAGTAGCTGTAGTGATAGGATGTGAAAGTCGCTGCTTATATATGAAGTAGGCAGGGGGTGGTTGATTAGGGAGAACGGACCAATGGGAGCAGTGGGGAGCGATTGAGACCATATATGGTGTTGTGTTGACTAAGGGTGGGGGGAACGGCCAGTGGATCCAGGAATCTTCGACCGATATGAAGTTCGTGTAAATTAGAGGTTATTCTGCACAGATGCGGACCAGAATTAAACTTTACCTTGAAATGTTAGTGTGGAATCCATTTTCTTTGAGCAATGTTGGCGATGAAACATTTCGACGGACGGGGGGGGGGAGTCTAGCACTAACACTCTGTTACACGTTCAGTGTGTTCCTTCCACAAAGAATGTATGCGGAAGTGTTAAGTTAAATAGCGAAGCCAGGATACAGACAGAATGTTCGGGGGAGATCTTGTGATGTCTTTGCTTCTAAATGAATCGATCCGCACAGTCTCATTGCACAAGTGTTGCCGGGAAGTAAAATGGAATTTGTGGTTCTCATGGCGGTATCAGCGATACTGCCTTCCAGTTTGCTAGATGGGTACTCAATGCACGGCACCACATTATAGAAGACCGAATTCATGATACCGATAAAGGAATTCCTAGATATATGAAACCCGAAGAATTGTCATCCTGTAAGATTTGAGGCTTTCACGGCGGTGACTATGAAGAAAGCAGTCTTCTGGGATTTGGCACCGTGTATATGTGGTGTTAACCGACGTTTCGGAGGAACGTATCGCCTCCATCTTCAGGGTAGAAGAAAAAATATAAGAATTCTGCAAGCGGAGAGACCATGAGAACCGGTAAAAGCAGACTGAGGAGAATCGCGAAAACGTGAGGACAGCCTGTATCCTGGCCGATATTCGAACCGAGCACCTCCTAAATACAAGCTCAGAGCTTTAACACTCTGCCAACTCGCTCAAGATCGGGATCGCACAGTCTGCTTTTACCGGTTCTCACGGTCTCTCCGCTTTCAGAATTCTTATATTTTTTTCTTCTACCCTGAAGATGGAGGCGATACGTTCCTCCGAAACGTCGGTTAACACCACATATACACGGTGCCAAATCCCAGAAGACTGCTTTCTTCACAGTTATCATCCTGTTCACAACAGCCCGCCTTCGGACCTTGCATTTAACCCTTTGAATCCGGTCCTTACCTGGTTTTCTATTGTCTGTTTTTTTTTTAAGTTTTCCTTCCATAGCACGAATTAGTTTACAAAATTATATTTTCTCTTGAGTTCTCCGACGATAATTTTATATACGGTTTTCATTTCTGCAGGCGTGCTACATGCCTAGCCCATTTAATCCTCCTTGGTTGAATTACTCGGTATTAAGTGAACCCGATCTTGAGCGAGTTGGCACAGTGTTAAAGCTCTGAACTTGTATTTAGGAGGTGCTCGGTTCGAATATCGGCCAGGATACAGGCTGTCCTCACGTTTTCGCGATTCTCCTCAGTCCCCTTGGCAAATTCCGAGACAGTACTTGATTAGTCTACGACCACTTTCTGCCACATCTTTTTCAGTTCATCGTTAATCCATCATTTTATCATTCGAAGCTACGTAGTGTAGCTACTGACAGCTGATGAAATAGCAAACAAAATAATTAATCTCTGGCCCGGAGCTTGGCTGATTACAAACTGAGGAATTTTGTTCAGTTTATTCTGTGTTTTCGGGACCTGAAATTCTGAGGAAGGTCGCCGATTCGATTCCCGATGATGTCACTGGATTTTTCAGGTGACCTACTCCTTCCAGCCGCACTATGGTCGACTCAGCCTCTAACAGAAATGAGTACCAGGGATGTCGCTGTGGGTAAAGGGCGGTCGGCGCGTAAGGCCGACAACCTCACCGCCTTGTATGAGTCGACTGTCTAGAAAATGTGGGAGCCTCGACGTCTCACAACCCTGTGGGTCTCCACGGTCAGTTACATGGATAACTGTACCTTTACCTTTTGTGTAAAGAGGTGTGATTTGTTGAATGATATCGGAAAACTGGACCTATGTCTTATCTTTCCGTCTCGGAACCCAGAATTTAAAGACTTTTGATAGCTGTCAGTCAGTAACCTGTAGTGTCGAAGCTACGGGCTGGACAACCACGGAATCGGCATTTGATTTCCGGGGGCAGATACTTCAATCTTCTACGCAGCATCCAGACCGGAACTGCGGCCCGCCTAGTCCCCTATGAAATATCAAATGGGTATCGTGGTTCTTTGCCGGAGCTGAAGCGGCCGTAGCGTGAACCTGATCACTCACCCCATCAACTGCCGAAATTAAGAATGCGGAGGGTTGAACCTCCACTTCCCCCTACATATTTTTGTCGTGGTGTTTAATGAAGGACAGACAGCCTTACCTTTTCTTACCTCTTCCTAATATTACGGTAATACAAGCAGAGAAGGTACTGGCTCTGTAGCGTATATTATCCTTACAGTTTTTTTTTATGATTTCCTGGATTCTAAAAATGTCTTATGTTTCAAAGAAATGTTTATAACTCATAGAGTTCTACGCATCTTTGTTTGAAACATTATTTTCCTTTGCATGAATATTTAACGAGCCCAAACGAGCCGTTTCCTGTGAACAAATGTTCGTCCTCACACATGTTTACTTAAATTTCTTTCCCAAAGTTCACTCATGTCTCACTAATCTTAAATTAACACATTCTGTACCATCCTCCCCACCCAAGAAAATATAATACCATTAAGAAAATATACCGTCCGTTCTTTCGAACAGCGTATGTTTTCTGTGGGTTGCGCACGATGGAAGCTCGACAGCAGGTGTGTTCATGTGGAATCTCCACAATCCTTCACACTGGTATGATGGAAAACAAATTTTATGGTTCCAATGGATTAGACAGGCTCAGTAGAGTGCTCCTGTGAACTCAGTGATGAATATACGTGTTTGATAAAGGCAGGGAATTTCGTGACTAGCTGAACGACTGTTAGATTCTCAAGAAGCACTTTTAGCTTAGTTACCGAGATATGAATTTGGACGCATTGTTTTTATAACCACTCATACCGCTACAAGCTGCATGTGAGCAGGAAAGTTTCACCTCTGAGGTAATTATGATCCGTCAGTCATAATTCTTGAAGCCGCCATATTATTTTATTTTGTTTCTAGAGAAAGAAAAGCTTAAAAGTTAAATAGGCTCCTATTTTTCAAACGTCTGCAGCCATATATACATGTGATCCCCACGTTACTTTAATCGGCGCTAGTTTCTTTCCCACTTCAAAAGTTCGCACGAAAGCTGTGTTGATACTGTTGATCGTACAAAGTTAAAAAAAAAGGATTCAGGATTAAACGGAATGCTCTTATTAAGTTTCATCAGCATTTGTAAATTAGTTTTCGTAGGTAAAGTTGTCCCTGTGCTTAACTAATTAAGCACTACGCCATGAAGGCGTATGGGGGAGCGGATGTATGGATCCACATTTTCTTGACCTCGGCACTAGTTGGAGTGAATGTTCAGCTTCACGTCTCTGCCGCTTTACCCCCAGTAGCCATTGGATAAGAGGTTGGGTGGGCCCCAGAGCCGGTCTGGACGATGTGAAGAGAAAATTCTTNACTCATTGGTCTTTCAGAATCATAAAGTTTTTGCCATCGTTAAACAGTCACACTCGAGAAATCGTATAATTCAAGTATCCGTATACAAAGTTTTGGAGATTTAAACACGTATTTCCTTTCGACAGTTGAAAACCCTTCAGACATTATTTATAGAGCCGGGGCGAATATATGATGCGCAGGGTAAACAGTCTTGGAGGTTTTGTTTCATGTCTTTGTCGCTGCTATTGTCTGCATAGAGATGGCCACAGGAAGGAAATGAAAAGTTATGATGATATATGTGGTTTCAAACAGAAGAGGGTGCCTATGCGTTCCTTTCCCTCGCCGTCAGTGTTGATGGATATGCAGGGTGTTTCATAAAGACCTGAAGATTTCAGTTACTTACATTTCTAACTCTACTTTAGGTGTAGCAATAAATCGAGTGTCATATGTTGTAGGAAGATTTCGACCTCCCGGAAAAGCAGTGGTTATTCTTTTCGCCGCAAATTGGCGCTGCATCCGGGAGTCAAATAAAATAAGTTCCTGAAATCATAGGTTTTTATGAAGCATTTTGTATAGTATTCAGGAAGTGAGAATATTCTGATTTGTTGAATGGAAATACACACCAGCCTATCTGATTTCGCCCAGATAAATTCCTCGTTTTACGAAAAGGGTGAGTTCCGTTATGTCTGTTGGTTGAAATTTCATTAAAGGAAGATGAATTCCCCATTAATGTACAATGAATGATTAAAGTGCGGTGATCAAAGGTAATAATCACACAGCGAGTGTCCTAGGGACCGCAGGCTTGAATGTATGCATTAGGTTTAGGGGTTGGCCCAACCTGGCCGGAGAAGCGACTGTTTCTTCTACTTTGAAGGGGAAACTCGCTGTGTATGCATATTTTTTTTTCCTTGGCACTACAGCCCCAGTGGACCTAGGCCTACCTCCATGAACTTCTCCGTTCACTTCGGTTTTTCTAGATCTTACACATTCGGTAGGACTCCTTGGGCGGGTGATCAGCTCGTCGCAAGGCCTCTACCTGTACACAAACACAGAAAAGCGCACACACACAAACTAAACATCCATGCCCTTAGTGGGATTCGAACCCATTATCCCGGTTCTCAAGCGAGCGAAGACAGTACATGCTCGGCTACCGTGACCGGCACTGTGTATGCATGTAGCCTATAAATAGTAACAAAGTGGGCAAATGCACGGTTCAGTGTACATATAATACGATCTGTATTTATCTGGATCATCACAGAATCCAAGTTATCGCAAATATTCGCGAATCGTAACGGATTGGAATCATTCGGTTTTCTGAAGTTTACAGTTAGATTTCAACTTAATAAAGGGCGATATATTTAAACGCTGAAAACAACGACAACGCCAAGAATGAGATTTGGGTGCAATCAGTTGATCTAAACTTTATGTTACTAGAAATACATAAACATTCCTTCTATTTCGGGTTTGTGCACTAAGTGGGGATGAGCTTAGAGGAGTTGACCCGCAAGACAATAAAACGGATGAAACGTTTGCATTAAATTAAAGAAATAAAACGTATTGAAACTGCTTAAAAGTCTTTATAACACCTTCAAATTTGCCACCTGGTTAAGAATTTTCTTTTTCCTCTCCTGGCATTTATATCAGAGTATATTTATTCACGTTTTACCATAGTGGTTCTTATTCTGTAATAAAAAATCTGTAGGATAGAAGTCGTAAAGGATGAAGAAGTAGGAAGGCTAAGCAGTGTTATCCACAGAAAGTTTATTTTCTTCCTCGAAGAAGAAAACACTGCCACTAGTGAAGAGTAGTAGAATTCACCGCTTCCTCTCTCTGGTTTCAACGGCTGTTAGCAGCTGTCCGATGTAACAGAGTACAGCACAAGAAGACTCGAGTTTTAGCAGCCCAAGTCGTTCCAAGTCATTCACAAAAGTATTCCAGCGAAAACTTTTTTTTTTGTTCTTCCCGACACTCAAGACAAACATTGTGCACTTTAAACGAAGAGGGCTTAAGCACGGGGCGTAGAACATAAAATGAACACCAGTTGGACCACTCCGGGACAGGCTTCAGGCCACCCATACTTTTAGTTTAATTTTATATAAACGTCTTCCTCGACAGCGAAACCAGATGCAAAAATAGCTTTATTTGTGATAGCTACCTCCGATTTAAACAAGAAGTTCTGGGAAAACCTTATAACGTCCACTTTTATGAAAATGTTTAATTCTCTTTGACGACCCGACGATATTAGGTACTCTGCCTGTAGAGACTGATAATCGTACGATTTAGTTGTTTGTGTACGCAATTTTAACTAACCCAATTCTGGGCCATCGCGGTGTTTCGAAGTTTAAAAGCTCTTTCGTCTAGAATCTGTATGCATGTTTATGGCCTGGCTACATATAAAATTTCACTTGTCCAATTCAGATAGTTCGTGATCGCCATCAAACACAAAATTAAATATAGATTTTGTGCGGCCACCATGTTCTCGTCTTACATTCTAAAGGAGACAAGCCTTGCCAGAAGTTACGGCGTAAATATTTTACGAACATTTGTTGCCACACAAGATTTTATGATTCTGAATACGTGGTGCTGGTGCAGCTCCCATCTCAGAAGTTGGCACGTCCGCAATACTGTTATTATTGGTGGTAGGAAATTAAAAAATGGAAGGGAAGAGGAAGAAGAAGGAAGAATGAAAAAGCTGCAGTCAGAATTTCTCAGTCAATGCGCGAAATCACAATAAAAAATCGGCTTTGGACAAGAGGTTGTTGTACAGTATTCATATTGCCATTATTCTGTGAGTGTACCTACCTTGCAGGATATCCCGTGCCAATGAACTCTGCTGTAGACTTCTGAGATGTTTCTGATATAGCCTCTTCTGTGCCAACAGTGCCTCTGCCGATTGGACACGTGACCTCAAGTCGTGGCCCTCCTCACTGGATTGTTGTCTGAAATTTGGAAAACTACAGTTAGTCATGACGACCATCATCTTTTTTATCCTCGGCACTATAGCCCCAGTGGGCCTAGGCCTACCTCCATGAACTTCTACGTTCACTTCGGTTTTTCTAGATCTTACACATTCGGTAGGACTCCTTGGGCGGGTGATCAGCTCGTCGCAAAGCCTCTACCTGTACACAAACACAGAAAAACGTACACACACAAACTAAACATCCATGCCCTGAGTGGGATTCGAACCCACAATCCCGGTTTCCAAGCGAGCGAAGACAGTACATGCCTTAGACCGGCATGACGACCCTTTAGCATGTAATATTAGGTAGGCTTTTGTTCATCATAACCTCTTGAAAATATTTCGAATAGAGGCTGCTGAATTTACTTGTGGTTTCTGTCTGTCCATAATAGCCCCATTCTTCACGTGAAGATCAGAATGAACTTGTCCATTTTCCAAAAAGATGTAAATTGCTGTCTTCTGGGGCGTGACGCTGTGAAGTCTGGCAGAAATTTGCCAATATTTCGGAGGAATCTGCTGCTATCTTATACCCTGAAGATGGAGGCAGCAGTTTTCTCCGAAATATTGATGCCTATCTACAAAATTAAAGGGCGTCATATACCAGAATATTGCATTCGTGATGTTTACCATAGTCAGAAACCCATATCTTATATGCTTTAACTTATAGTTTTATGTGTGTTTATTTGACGTTTCAGTTTTTAATGAAATCTTATTCTGTGAGTAACTGACAGAATTTTCTAGGCATCCGACTTCGGTATGTTGTCGATACATCCGAAATGTCATCCAAGGTTAGGACTTGGCAATTTATCAAAACTGCCATGGAGCTGGCCTTCTCGGTTGCGATCAGAATTGGACATGAGACACGTAACTGTCTGAAGCAGCGGACCCTGTCTTTACTGTCTTCCAAATATACGAGTTGTTCTGACAAATAGGTTTTGCCAAAGAAAATATGCATACAGGGTGTCCCTAAAGAGAATGTTATGGTTGAAACAGGAACAGTAATTCTTGAGCAACTTGGATCTTAAATTAAAGTGATATAAATGTTATGTAAAGATGGTATATACGTATATATCGGTGTATTATACTAAATGTATGCATCATGCATGGTACTTGTGATAGTGACGAGGTTCAAATATTTGGGAACGACATTAACTAATCAAAATAGCTCTCATGAAGAAATAACGAACAATTCACCTTCGGGGAATGCTTGCTACAGTTCAATTCAGAACCATTTGTTTTCAAGGCTGATATCTAAAAACCTAAGAATTAGAAAATTAAAAAACCACAGTTTTTTCTGGTGTTTTGCGTGGAAGCGAAACTTGTTTATTACAGTAGGGTGAGAACATAGATTGAGGGTGTCTGAAAACACGGTGTTGAGAAGGACGTTCGAACCCAAGAGAAAAAGAGTAAAGTAAAAAGTAAGGTAAAGCTATCCCTGTAACAGGCCGTGAAGGCCCATAGGGTTGTGACGCGTTGAGGGTCCCACAACATCTAAACAATCGGCTCACAGATGGCGGTAAGGTTCTCGGCCTTACGCGCCGGCCGCCCTTTACCCCCAGGAAGATTCCTGGTACTCATTTCTGTTAGAGACTGAGTCGACCCAAGGGCGATAGTGCGGCCGGAAGGATTAGGTCAATTGAAAAAATCCAATGACCTCATCGGGACTTGAACCCGCGACCTTCCGGCTTGTAGCATAGTGCCTCAACCAACTACGCTACCGCGTGCCCCCTAGAAAAAGAGTAATAGGTAAAAAGTAAAGCTATCCCTGTAACAGGCCGTGAAGGCGTATATGGTTGTGATACTTTGAGGCTCCCACATTATCTAGACAATCGGCTCACAGATGGCCGTCAGTTTGTCAGCCTTACGTGGCGGCCGCCCATAACCCCCCAGGAAGATTCCTGGTACTAATTTCTGTTAGAAGCTGAGCCGACCCCAGGGCCATAGTGCGGCTGAAAGGATTAGGTCAATTGAAAAATCCAATGACCTGTTCAAGAATCGAACCCGTGTCCTTCCGGCTTGTAGCATAGTGCCTCAACCAACTACAATACCGCAAGTTCCCAAAGAATAATTTGAGGATGAAGAAAACTGCATAATGAGGCTCCCAATAATTTGAACTCCTCTGTAGGTATTACTAAGATGCTTAGGTGAAGTAGATATAGATGGACGGGACATGTAGCATGCATCGAAAAGAGGAGAATTGCACACAGCGTTTTGGTCGCGGAACTTGAAGGACCTACGTAAGATCGGAGGATAAATTGAAATGGATCTTGAAGAAAGAGGCAGGGGAGGTGTGAACTGCATTCATTTGGCTCAGGTTAGGGATCAGTGACTGGCTTTTGTGAACACGGTAATGAACTTTCGGGTTGCATGAAGTGCTAGACATTGCTAGACAAGCTGAGCAACTACTAGCTTGTCAAGACGACTCTGCTCCAGGCAGTGTGGTAGCAGCGAACAGACGCACCTGCGCAGCGCCACTTGCGCCGCCATGACCCGCTGGCGCTCCACAACCAGCTGACAGTTAGGGCACTGGCATTCCCGCCAGCGACACAGCCGCTTGTGGCCTTTGAGGCACGAGATTACCCCGTGGTTGCGGCACCGCGCGCACTTGGGCGTTCGCAGTAGCCTCCGTCCGGCGCCGGTTCCTCCTCGGCTGCCTCGCACTAGCCGCTCCGACGCGGGCGGCGTGTTCATCCCTTGGAGAAGAAAAGCGGAAACTTCACGTTACTGAAGTCTTAATATATTTGTAAAGTTGTACCTGCGCTTAATTAAGCACCTCGCCATAAAGAATAGTGGAGGTATAGCTCCACGCATTCGTACCGTCATCAACCGAACGTCCTTACGGAGTTGTTAGCATTCGTTCATATGTGGGGGGAAGGGGTTCCAGGTTAAAATCCCGGTCCAGAGACCGGCTCTTCTGAGGATTCCGTGGTTTTCCTAAATACCTCCAGGAAAATATTGCGATATAGTCTAAAATTCGGCCATGACATTTTTCTTACACATCCTTTTCAATTAATCATTCACTTGTTATTCAATCGTTCGACGTTATGTAATCTTAGAAATTAAAATCGCCGTTAAATAAACACGAACAAATAAAGAAAATGGATAGCTTCGACGCTAGATGGAGTTGGGTGTTCAGCTTCTCTTCTCTGCTTCTCTACCCCTGATAACGCAGCCCTTGGAACTCTTCGGGTAGGAGGCCGGATGAGCCCCAGAACCCGTCTGGATGCTATGGCGTTGTGTGCTTGTGCCTGTGCTAGTCCATACAGACGTGTGTGGGACCAGAGACATGAAGAATACGAGATTTTGGGCTGAAAAACCGTGTAGTTCGGAAATTGTCCGATGTATTTGGAAAACGCATAGCCTCCATTTTCCGAGTTGAAGAATAAGCAGCAGAAGCAGGCCGCTAGCTTTCCCCGTACCCCACGGCGTCTTAACCGCCGTGAGAACCCCAAATCCAGCACGGTGGAGGTATAGTTCCACGTGTTTTTAACCAGATAGTGGTAAGTGGTTACCTTGACGCCACGGCCGACTTGCCGTAGTCTGTGGCCATTGGAATTCAATTTTGGTTAAAATATAACAAAAATAATGGACACTATATATAGAAACCTATATGCATGTCCGCGCGTGTCTCGATCGGAAGTCCTTGTGTATTTATCGGCGCGACAAATGTTTGGAACAAAGTTTATGGAGAAAAAGAAACAAATGTTGTTCTCAGTGCGCTTTTTCCTTAAATCACACGAGATAATTGGTGGATCTATACATTCACTTCCCCATACACCTTCATGGCATAGTGCTTAATTAGTTTAGCACAGGGACAGCGTTACCTTTTACATCACGAGATAATTAAACAAGACTTATTGCGCTACTCATGAATTTCCTGTTTGTATACTGAACAATCAACGGTGGTCTCTCGAACTTACACAGAAATTTGCCGAACACGTTGGAATTTACTAAGTCCATTATTACTGATAACAAGAGAGGAAAGGCTATACTCCATAATGTACTACACAAAATTTTCTGCGGTGGTCTTTGCGTTTGCTTGCATCCGTCTTATAAACGCAGTTTCGCTTGTAAACAAATTGTATTAGATAAACTCATTCACTCACTCACTCATGGAGCTGAGCCCTTCTTTAAAAGTCACTAATTATGCACTTCCCAGCATTTTATGGAACCTGAAAGTTCATTACCGTGTTCACAAGAGCCTTCCACTGGTCCCTATCCTGAGCCAGATCAATCCAATCCATCCCATCTTATCCTATCTCTCTAAGATCATAAAACTAAGATTTTGACATCATAATTCACAAATCGAATTATAGAAATCAGATTATGAAGTGCCTGAAAGAGTATATTTATGACCTTATGTTAAAGTAAGCTTTGTAACGGCCGTGCCATAGCTCAAGCGGTTAGTCGCTGGCTTCCCACCGCGGCATCTCGGGTTCGAGCCCGGGTCTGGTCAAGTGGGATTTGTGGTGGACAAAGTGGCGCTGGGGCAGATTTTCTCCGAGTACTTCGGTTTCCCCTGCCAATCTTCTTTCCACCAAATTCCCCATCATCATAATCACCCGGGGCAGGTACAATAGGCCAGTCAGTGGCCGCCATGCTGAGTGGACCCAGCTGGACTCCACCCCCCACTATGCGAAGAAAAAAAAAAGCTTTGTAGTCGATTAATGTGGCTTAAAGTCAAATAGCCGACTAATATTAAAAAAAACACGTCATACCAAATTTCGTCACAATTTGAATAACGTCTTATGATGTAGGTTACAAGAAAGAATTCATTTGTAACCATACGCATATGTGATCAGTATCGCTGTAAGTAGAAATGGCCAACTAACGTTATGCAAAGCTCTGGCAGTTTGCTTAACAGTTTATGATAAATACATGAAGAAGTTATTTTATGACCCTATATAAAGCAGGCTTTGTGATGAGGCAATACGGCTGAAAATCAGAACTTCCAACTAATGTATTGCACAGATCTCTAATACCAAGATTTCGGCAGTAATTATTTCACGATTTATGAATATACGAAAAATATATTTATAACCTTAGTATATGTAAAGTACACTTTGTCGAGGATGACTATGGCCGAGAATAGAAGCTTTCAGTAACTGTATGTAATGTCGAATTTAAAAATTGTCCCGTGATTTAGGTGATGATTAGTCGTACACAATGAAAGATATGACCTCTACATAAGGACTCCCGATTTTTGCGTTGCAAAGAACGCCTAAATTAAATGAAGATTCCTCGTACTTGTACTTATAAGAATACTTTTATGTGCATATGTATATACTTAACTAAAATATAATTTTACTTAAGGGGTGAAGGATTGAAATAAGAACAATCTTTACTAGTCACACTGGACGGAACTGTTTAACCTCTTATGAAGTTTTACATAAACATGAAACTAGCCTCTTTGCGAAATTGAGTTTTCTCTATGTAATCCGAGCTACTGGCAGCGTTGTTAAATAACGTTCGATCAAGTGAAATAAACTTCTTTAAAATTTCTCTTTGACTTTGATTTCGTTTTGATAGTCCAGTCAGTACAGTAACTAGGCTACTGGCTGGACAACCAAGGAATCAGGGTTCGATCTCTGGCAGGAATCGTTGATTTTTCTGCTCTTCATCGCTCCTGTACCGGCTGTGGGGGAGTAAAGCGGCCGTGGCGTGAAGATGACCGCTCACCTCCATTTAGTATTGAGGTTAAGAATGCATGAAGCAATACCACCAATAACTACATACATTTCTGTGGCCCTGTGTATGATTAAGCACACGACCTACTTCGCATTTCCCTTGATCCTCCCATATAGGCCTAGATCTCCCCATGACAGCTAAAGTGACGGTACCTGTTCAGTGTCTCAGTGAAGCACGTGTAGAAAGTTCGGCCGTGGAATCTTCGCTTCGCTGCCGACAAGAAGCTGATCGCAGCTAACTGGCGGACGAACTGAGTACTTAACTACGTTTTGTCTTAAACATCTTCATTCTCGAGCCGCTATTGGTTCAGGCGTCTCATGTGGGCGGTCCCACCCCAGCATCAAGCACGTGTACATGTCGTCATGTGGACCAACGTATACCAACACTTCGTTTTTCTTCATTATTCCTCAATAAACCATAACAATCAAGTTCATTATTTGTAGGCCTACACTTTTCATAGTGTTACTAACTCACTCATTCCCTCTTGGGAAGCTGACAGTCGCTCAGATAGTTAAGAAACCACTCACTGTTTCTGGAACTCGAAGGTTCATTACCGTGTTCACAAGAGCTAGTCACTGGACTTTATCCGAAGCCACTTTAATCCTGTCTTCACTCTCACACCCTGTTTCTTTAAGACGGGATAGCTCAGTCTATATAGTGACGGGCTGCGGGCAGGATGGTCGTGATTCGATTCCCGGCAGGGGAAAGAGATTTTCCTCTACTTCACAGCGTCCAGACCGGTTCTAATGCCCACTCAGCCTCCTGTCCAATGGGTATGGGGAGCTCTTTGCGCAGCGGTGAGTCGGCCGGGGCGTGAAGCTGACCACTCATGTCCGTGTAGTGCCAAGGTCAAGAATGGTGGAGCTATACCTGAACTCCCCATACGTCTTCATGGTGTAGAGCTTAATTAATTATGTACAGGGACAAGTAGAAAATGTGGGATCCTCGACGTTTCACGGTCCTATGGGCCTCCACGGCCCGTTACAGAGATAGCTTTGCCTTTTTTCCCCCCCCAGGGACAACTTGTATGTCTACCATATCTATTTTAGCATCATTCTCCCATCCACACCTCTGTCTGCAAGTTTTCGTTTCCCTTCACAGAATACCGGCAGCCACAGGGAGAATCTGACTGAAGTGACGGTCGGTTCGCCAGTGAACCCAAAGGAACTAGACAGGCTTAGTGTAATGGACCTCGCCAGAACAATAGACTCTGACACATGATGTGTGAATCGTTTTGTTACGGAAAGAAACGCAATTTAATCTTCAGCTGCTACTGACTAGGCTGTATATGTGCCCTGTGGTTCAGACAAGTTATTAATGGCTCATATTATCATTAATCTCTGTCCCATCCGTCAGAAGGAGAACATTCAAAATATGTAGGCCTATAGGTCTAAATGAAGTGTGTTTTGCTGGAACTCTGAAGGAACGTCTGCATACTGAACAAAAGATACAATTACAAAACTAATATAATCATATTTTATTATCCACAACGATTAGTAAGTGACGTTTTAATTCTTTAAAATTTTAGATTACATCTCCTTTAAGTTCAAGACAAATTTCTGATGAAAACTTTACCTTGTTAATTGGCTAATTTATATGATTGACTTGTGTGTTAGAATATCAGGAAATAAGAACTTATCTTTTTAGAATTCGTAAATATGTTTGAGTTTAACACCCAGTGATGTGTGTCATAGATATTGTAGCCTTTTATATTAATTACGAAACATTTATTTTATTTTATTTGAAGTCTCTTAAAGCAGTGTTTCACAGCCGCCTGTCCTCGGCAAACTTCTATCTCTCCGCAATATGTCTACTTCCATAGGTCTTTTCTTTCTTAAAACTATTCGAAAAAATGACTCTAAATACAGTTTCGTTTATATTCTGTCAAACTCCGTAGCTCATTCGATATACTGACTAGGCTACGGGCTGGATGACCGGGGAACTGTGGTTCGATTCGAAGCAGGAGTAAGAGATTGTATTTTCTACAGAGCATTCAGACCAACCCTGGAGATTATCCATCTCCTATCCAATGGGTACCTGGGGTTATTTCCGTGGGGGTTAAGTGGCTGTAGCGCGAAGCTGACCACGTCTATCTAGTGCCGGGGTTAAAAAATGTTTGGCTACACCTCCGCTCCTTTATACGTTTTCACGGCTTGGTGCTCAATCACATGGACAACTTTGCCTCTATCTTTACCGCTCTCCCATAACAGATGACAGACGAAAAGATATCCTGAACAAAAGAGATAATTACTGTCGGTGTTTTAGGTCTACACACATAGTCCACGAACTGATCAACTGCAGAGGTATAGTGACTGGGATAGTACAACAGATATAGAGATTTTTAAGTAATGGCGATTCTGAGCAGTTTTTGGATCCAGCCGTTGGAGTTTATCGTCTTCACAGCTGTAACGAGCACTCCCGAAATGCCTGGCTCAGCATATGAAACCATGACCAATTGTGAACTTTCATTTCATGCATGTTGCACAGAACTTGCCGCGGATAAGTTAACGTTTTTTTCGCTGCGGGCCGCACTCCGGTAAGTTTAAGATGAGGCAACTGTTTAGAATCCGTAGCACCGGTGTATTTTATTGTATTGTCACGAGTAGGTTGTTTGTGACTTATAAGACGGGGGTTTGGATTGGATGGTTGGATTTATTGCACCATATAAATTCACAACTCGGGACTACAGGTAATTACAGCGCTGTCGCCGATCTACACGCTTTACAGTTCACAGTCACACAAGCACTAGGATTTATAACCGTCTCACTGTAACTTCAAACCACACGTGAAGTCTTTTTTTTTTCCACAGTCTAATTAATTTCTTGCCATTTCTTCTCAATTACCTTCGACTATCATCTCCAGAACTCGAACCTTTTCTCGACAACAATAACTCAAATGAACTCTTTCTTCAACTGAACTTTCTGAACTTCTGATAACAACTGACTGCTTCTTTGAAACTCCATTGTTAGCCTCGGGGCGGACCCTACGGAAAACATCGTCTTCTGTTGTCCCGTATTGGTTTAGGCTTGTTTACCGATTCATTGCCTAGCAGTGGACGTCCTATTGCGTTCATTCGCTCCCGAGGGAATATGTTTACCGAGTCGTTGCCTAGCAATGATTCTATACGTCACAGTGTAATTCTTATGAGATGTGTTATTAAGTCAGACTGACGAGGTAGGTGTAAATCACGTTGCAGCCTTTAGTCATGCGTCCGATTGTAAGAAATTGCATGTAGGGTCCGAAATATTTGCCGGCTTTCATTCGGTTCCAGGGCAAGAAAAAACATGTGACCATCTCCGTTTTACTTCACCAGCGTCAAACGATGTGGTTATGTTTCTGCTTTATATAAACCCCACAATGGCTACCTTCAGGCTAAAGCTACGTCGTGTTGTTTCTATGAATACATACTTTCTAGCTAAAAATAAAATAGCTCCTTATAGGAAGTAGAGGCACAAAGAAAAATATAGAATGACCAGTTATAATTACTGTCGGTGCCCATGGAAGATGAACCGCAACGCGTGACAGACAAACGAGATGGGCAGTGGTGAACCTGCAATCGATCGTCCACAGTGTTACCAAGCCAATATCAAATTGTGATTGAATCACTGAGAAAAGTGGATAAAATGAAAGCTGAACCCAGCTCAGCGCCTGTGGAAAACCTTTCGTACTGAGGTAATAAAGGGCACATGGGAACTACTCGACAGGTACACCATATATTTGAATAGAGGCAAATTGTAAACCGGTCCTTTAAAATACATCCTAGCAACGTGTTAATCCGAAGTTAACGTAACACTAGACAGGATAAGGAGATATGTTCGAACGAATTTTGTTATAAATCAATGCCCGATCTCAGCCAGGAGACCGAATGTCTTGAGGGATTTAATGGTTTTACTCAGTCGTCTCAGGCGAATACCGGGATAGTGCCTCAAATCTGGCCACGATCTTGTCGTTCAGCGTCCTCTCCAACGCAGTATTTATTAGTCACCCTGCAGTTGAGCTGATAACAGCGTCGGCAAATAAGCAATAAATAAATAACGGTCCGAACCCTGCGTTGACCTATAAGTTTCATTTCAAAATATTGTTTGTATTGTTGGTGTGTTGAGTGTCCGAGTTTACCGGCTGGAAAGCACATAAATGCTCAGTGAAAATAAAAATATTGGATACAGTTATAACCACTAGTAAGTTGAACGTAATATTTCAAGTATGTTTTCTTCATATCACGTGTAGTTTTCCAGATAGTCATCATGCAATAAGTAGGTGTCTTAATGTGCATATACAAAGTACGCCTGTTTGTTACTTTCTCCATTCTTGTTGTTCTTTGCGGAGTGCTCGAAGATTTTCAGTTAAATACAATAATTTATGTTATCATTTAGACTCAGATAACTTCCATATTTCAAACAATTGCAGTACGATCAGTATGGTCATATTGAAAGACAAGAAAGAATCCTTGCCAATCAGAATAACTACTCGTAGAATAAGGAAATTTATGGGACATCTGTAATAAAACAATTCTACATGATATCTCAGTAAATCTATTGGCTAGATCCTTCGAAATATCTCGCTGTTGGTTAACTATCGCTAATGAAATAACATTTTATTTGTTTGTATACTTGGAGACTGATCCGGTCTTTGTATATGAAGTAAGTTTTAGTCTTTAAAAACCGAAGTGTGTGTGTGTTGTTGAACAAATTGAAGACAACGACAAGCAGTTGGCCCCACTCACGGGATGCATAACCACTCAGCCGAGAAATAAAACGTACTACGCCCGTCTGTCTATAAACAACGCGATCCTGTTCCGTGGCGGTGATGTTCTACACAGTAGCCGAGTGGGACAACACACACTTACACTGCAGAATTACATTATAACGCAACACTCGGAGAGTCAGCCGTGTGTTCCGAAGAGAGATCGGGTTCTCATGGTGAACATATGTTTCTTTATTCTATTAGAAAGCTGGCGAAGGATTAACTTGTATTCAAAAGGTAGCGGCTTTTAAACTCGGCCGATCCTTGGCATCCTCAAATTTTGCCGCAGTCTTTTCAGGGGAAATCTCTTATAGCAGATTTCCAGAAATATGTACCACTTGAGGTCACACAGCGGTGATGCTGAGTTACATCTTCTGGATATAACGCCATGTAGTCCGTTGAAAGTTAATGGACTACACAGTATTATATCCGAGGAATTAAAACTTTTCTCCAGAACTACGTGTATGTTGGCCCATTCGCTATATACAAGTTGGCGGAAAACATTGACAGCATAAAATATTTGTATGAAGCATTCTGCTTCTTTGTTGATGAGTACATTTTCTGAAGTGGTAAGAAGATTCGAATTGTATTTCTGGAGCCGTGGCTTACAG